AAAAGTTTTATATGCAACTATATAAGCGTGTTTTTTCAATGTGTCATTATTCATAAAGGAACAACAAAACAAAGGGATAGCAAATAAATGACAGTCCCAATAAATACGGGAGAATGTATAGTTGTACATTTTTTATATGTCTGACAAACACACAAATAATTTCGGTATCATTTTCATTTAACCTTCTTCTCTTGAACCTCGCAATTCTGGGTAATGTCTTACAGTATATATATGTACATTTAACACGAACCATATTATCTGTACATTTTTCTACCATCTATATCGGGTTTGTCAAATGTCCGTCTTGCTGTCCAACCATTTGTGCCTATGAACGCCATTTCAGTTCGCTGCCATTGAAACAAGCGAATTCAAACTTGGACTGTAAACATACTTGGGTATATTAGCATCTAGCAAAGTGATAACATTTTTGACCTTGCCAATTAGAGGGCAGGCGATTTACGTACCTATAAATACCTTCGTTCCTATAGATTCCTTAAATTCGGCATAACGACTATTCCAAAGATCAAGCCAATAATCTTACGGCCAGGCTCGCTAACACAATATCGTTATAATCGCGCTCTCTGCAACCAATTTATGTTTTTTTACACTGTGCACAGAGTATTAGGTTGTCGGTTACACCGGACTGCAGAGTATTCAAAGTTAATGGGAAAGCTTTGTTTCAAAACAAAGGCGGGAAAATGCTTTTTTTATATCAAACGAAAAAAATAGTTTAGTTTTACGAACGCTACTTAAGATCTATGAATGCCTCTGTATAACATATATAACATGCTTACATGTACCCTCAAGCACACATACATGCATACATACATGCATGCATACATGCATGCATGCCTACATGCATGCATACATGCGTGCATGCATACATGCTGACACATGCACGCACGCCGCAAGCTGCGCAATTTACGCAATATTTTTGAATCGTGTATTATGTACGCTAAATTGATTGTCCTGTCTAACTTCTAGAAAAAAAAATAAGAATAACATTTTAGACGAGTGGGTGGTATTGCTGTTAACATGAAAAAAACTTGATATGCTCAAACAAAAGAACAAATTTAAAGTCTAAAACGTTTCTGGATCAACTGAATCGACTGTCAAAATACACTCTATGAAGTCAAGTATTCGGCAAATGAAGCATAAAAACATAGAAACTAGCAACCTTGTTTACAACTCTATTAGTTTAAATGAACCTTCTTAATGTTGATATGCAATAGAAAAGCTTACATTCGCAGTGTGCATGTATTATTGGCACATTGCTCTCAAAAGTTAAAAAATTGGCATGAGCATATTTTAATTGGGCCAAAACTTTTTCAAAAGCCGTAGCTACTATTATACTCTGTTCACAAATTACAAAGGGTATATTGGTTTTGTGTCAGGCGGTTCGTATGGGTAGAGATTCCAATACTGCGGATAAGGTGTTAACATTTTGGGTCATGCCCAGGAGGGATAAGCTCAACTCTACCTTAACTATTCGCCAAATTGCAAGTAGACCTTTTCTTCTGCCTGCCTTCAGCTGCTATTGCACTGCGAACAGGGTATATTACAAATGGTTGTACCCAACAGCAACGCTTTGTTTCCAACTCCTTTTATGGGGCACCAAAGAGTGTGTATATGCTCAAATGTGATATGAGTGCAAACTAGCATGCAGGTTTAAAAAGAACTTGCTGGAATTTCAATAAAAAGCACTAAAACAAACAAACATTTTATGCGGGTAAATCGCATTTAGTTTACACTCTTCACAAGGGCTTTCCGTTGGCTTTGGTTTGTGTTGTAGTACTTTGGTATGTACTTTGAATGTTCTGAAATTGGTTTATTATTTACTTTAGCTTTTAATTGGCCATACAACATTTTGTTTAGTCGTTAACAAAGTGAAAAGGCTATGTTCACTGTGTTGTTTACTGTCCGTCTGTTCATGTGATTGCATTTTTTTATGTTTAGCTATTTAAGTCAAAACTTGGAACAAAGTATACATTTGTATGTCCGTGTTTAGATTATATGTCCAGTTGGTAGCGTGGGTAATTGCAGAAACCTATATCTTCCTCAATCTTAGAGCTTTCCGGCATATGGACTTCTGTTTAAATTCGATCGAATATCTAATACTTAGTAAATGTGGAGGGTGCGAAATGGGTTTAATTTAATGATACTAAATTCCTATACAGCTGTCTTATAGGCTATTGACCATATATATACTAAGCGACATTCAGATAGACAGACTTGGATGGCCCAATAAAGATCAGCTCACTTTTCTATTATGGGCTAGTAGGAGAAAGTAACAGAAAACCTCTGTAAAATATGCTCAACTATATGCCGACATTTATCGATTATGAGAAGACGACAGCAGACACCCAATTTATTAAAAAACCTTATCAACAACAGGCAGGCGAATATAGACAGATACAGATGGGCTGATAAAGAATATGGATACTCTATAGAGTCGAATGTGCCTGATTCTCTCTTTTACAGATATTTTCATAAATTCATAATAACCTTCGTAAGCGTGTGTGGTTGTGTGTGTATGTGTGTTTGGATAAATGCACTAGGGCAGTAGTACTAGTATACCCTGTACGAATTGAAAATTGTGAAAGCTAAAGGTAAGGGTAACATGAAGCATCTTAAACCCCACAAAGTATATTTATATATACTTGGTCGGGATGATGAACCGAATAGATCTTTGAGTTTAAGACTGTCATCAACCTCGATCTCAGTAACTGTAAGAGCTAGAAACTAGAAATTCGAAATATATATTTATTGGATATCATACCTGATTGATCCCATTCACATAAATGTCGCAACATATCTACTACGAAAAATCACCAATTCTCGGATATTATAAGAATCAGAGACACAGAGTATTAATATACACGGATTATTAATATTACACTATTTCAATACCCGCTCCGCAGTTCCTCGAAAATTTCAAAGCTATAGACCTGTACTTTGGGATATAATGTACATTATATATTGATTGTGTATTATATTTATGTTGCAAACCTTTTGACTAAAAAAAGCTTTTGTCTTAAAAGAAGATAGAAATTTGCGTTAGCTGGAGAGAATATTTGTCACTTGATCTTTATTCTTTCTGTGAAACTGTTTGTAGGGATTTGCCCGCTTTCTGCACCTTTTGCACCTTCAACTTTCAGTCTCTGAGATCAACATGTCTACATAAACGGATGGACAGATCAACTCGACTGATGCTGATCAAAAATATTTAAATTATTTAGGATTGAAAATGTTCACTTATGCTTGACCAAACTGCACAATTGCTTTAAGCCCATTTTGAATGAATAATTAACTTAATCGTAGCATATATATTTGCATATAAATTTAATGAATGATCCACACATATGTATGTATATCTATTGCATTGGGCATGCGCATTGAATGGCATTTGAGCATATCATGTTTAACTTACTCAATTTTTGCTTTTTAAATACAGGATCAGGAGGGACCCAAGGTAATACCCGAAGAAACGGAATTAAATTCGTCCAAAATAACTGTGTCTGGCTGTTTGGAGGAGGCGGCATCCAAGGCCGAGTCCATTGGCTGTGAGAAGAGCGTGCAGGATGATGACAATTGAACGGGTTGCGTTCACCTGGGGCGTAGAGTGATATTACAAAACACATTGAAATTATGAAACAACAACAAAAATAAAACAATAAAATAGGCACTAATTGAGAGATATTGAATAACGCTTGTGTGGGATTTAAATGTTAAACAATTTATTGTTAGTTGTACATTTGTTACGAATATGTTATATTATATTATGCAAAATAAACAAAAAATCGTTGAAAACAATTACTATCTAAAATTCGATTTCGATTAAAATGCCATGATTAGAGTTTGCTTTGAAAATCTTTTATTTGCCTTTGCTTAATTTAAATTGGGTTTATCAACGAACATCGCATTTCCTTAATTAAATGTACACATAAGTTTATTTTGATTTGTTTTTATTTAAAAGTGTTGAATTATTTTGCATTTTTTTGGCGTTTCAGATTTTTCAAATAAAGCTGAGTCAGCTTTATTTATTATTATTTTGCTTACTGTTGCGTTTTCATAACAAACATAGTTCAATTAATAATAATTGTGATCGCAAAGGGAAAAGCCTAAGTTGATTATGACCAGAGCCCAACTAGTTGTTATCCGACTATCTTTAGTGGCAATCATAAGGTGATTCCCTATAATCGAGCCCTATATATATATATATTCTTGATCTGAATGATGGTACAATGATCAAATCTTTTTACTGAGCACCACAATTATGAATACAGCGTATCCGAGAGTGGGGCACCCTCAGCTAGAGCTCTCATGGGTTTCTTTAATATATAATTAAGTTTTTTTTCAGCATTTAAGTTTTATTTTTTTGCTTCTGAATCTATTTGTTATGTTCACTTTTATTTTAAAATTTGCACGTCTATAGCAACATGCCCAATGCAGCCGCAGGAACACACACATTTGTATAATCCTGCTGATTTTAAATACACATATATAAACCGCAAACAATAAACATATTAGCCTTGATGGCAAATTTTAATTTATGATAATTAATGTTTAATAACAGCTTATGATTACCTCGATGGCCAACCCGTTAAATATACATTTTGCGTTTGTTGTGCCGCAAATAAAGCGACAATAATCTCTCGCCACAAATTAATTTTTAACAATTTACCTTGTTTGTGCAAATAAAGACAATTTATTATTGCGGTTAAATTAATTTAGTTTAAATTTTTGGCCGCAAACACATTCTCTCGAAAGTGCACCAAAACATATTCATATTGTTTGCTTCTCATTGAAGTTAGTTTAATCGAGATATTTGTCTTTTGCTTAACCTACAAAACATGTCGAGCAATTTTACGGGTAAGTTTAATAATAAAAATAAAATCCATAACGTTTTGGAATATATCGAATTCTTTTCGAAATATTTATTTACTGCAAGCTGTTTAAAGGTCTATCGTTGTGAAGTGAATTGAATCTAATCTTGCAAATATATAATTCACAATCAGTTAAAACCACACAATTCGACCATAACGCGACCTCAGCTATTGTAAACTATAAACTGTGAAGTTTGTGTTTGCCCGACTTAAATAAACATTAGCACACAAGCTGTTAAGCCTATCATCATGTAATATGTATTGTATTTGTTTAATCAAATGGTTAATTTGTAGTCAACTTTATTTTAATGTTTGTTTTTATTTTCTATTTGTTTTTAATAATATCAGTACTGTCAATATTGTCAGTACTGGCACTGCAAGAGTAGCACAAAAAAGTTTTCAACACGAATCAGTTCTTACTCTACTAATGCGATTGGGGCTTCTTTGTGAATTTAACTAGCCAGCCATCATCCTTAGCTCCGGGTGCAGCTTCTGCTAAAGCTGCTGTTCCAGCTGCAAGAGCCAAGTCTCACTGTATTAGCGGCAAGTGCTGCGAGTTCTCACTGAAGTCCACCGTGTAGTACATGTCGTTCTCCATATTCATGGCCAGATGCCGTTGGAATGGCCGCTCGTGCAGTTGTCCACCCAGCGTGGTCTGGGTATGGAGGCTGCTGCCATTTGGCCTGGAGGACAAATGACGCGTTGACTGTGCCGGATTGCCGGCTGCCGCAGAGTTTAGGTCACGCTGTGCAGCTGCAGTGGGATCATTGAGAACTTTGCCACTTAGCCAATGTTTGTTGAGTGCTCCTTGCGTCTTGGGTCGTCGACTAAAGCCCAAAATAGGAATAAATGAAGTGGAACGCGTGGAGAACTTGCGATACGTTTGATTGACATTGCAGTGGCAAATTGTGACCTGGTTGACAAAAGTACAAATCAGAACAAAGAAAATTGTTAAATTGTACTCATAGATCCCATCCCACAAACGTAGTTTGAAGACGAATGGCTTTGCAGATATGTGAGGAAATTGTGAATCGGTTTTCAACCAATTTTGCATGTGGAGCTATATAATGTAGTAGCCAGATGTGGATAAGATTTTACACATTTCGATTAGATATCTTGATGAACATAAAAATAAAAGAAGAACTTCAATTTTGACCGGTTATTCCTAAAGCTGTAACATATAATGCTTAACATAACATATAATGCTTAAATACTGTGTGCAACAAAAAGACGGATCTTTAAAAAGATACATAACAATAGTTTTAAACTGGAAAACTAGTATGCATGGAACAGATAGACGATCGAGACTATATCTCCTGCTGTGTTTTACACATTGCATCAAAAAACTATAACACAAAAAGTAAGACTTCTGAGTACAAGACTAGGAGAGACCCTCCCCCTAACCTCAAGTCCTTTCCATTTTTTTCAATTTTAACGTTATGCAAAACCTGATTAGTATTAAATTAATTACTAACTACTCTGTGAAGTGCTATTGAAAAATAAGCAACCACTCCAGTGGCAAGTTTCGGAATGTAGGCCTGCATTCCTGATAGGGTGGAACTAGGCTTAATATAAATTAAAAACTAAGTGCACTTGCTGCTTGCTTCAAGCGTGCCTAGCGAAAAAATCTGTATGTATAACATATATACAAATATATATATTATGCGCATAAATTTGAATACTCTTCAAACTTGCCGCTCGATTGAACTTGGTAAAAAAAAAAAAAGAAAGAAGAGAAAGAACAGCTACAGCTGGCTGGGGCCATGTTAAAGTAACCCTCGACTCGAAACATGGAAATGAATATGCAATGCCAGCTCGCAGAGTTTCCAGAACCGCAAAGTACAATTTCCCTATTGGTCAGCCCCTGTTTCGTGTTCGCTCCTGTTACCCGCCTTGTAAGGAGGCAAATGTGAGTTGTGTGCGTGTGTGTGTGTGTGTGTGGGTGTGTGTGTGTGTGTTAACTTACCACAACGGCAACGATGAAAATGGCGGCCGCCAGGACTCCAGCCGCAAAATATGCATTATGCAATTCAATGGGACTCTTAAGCACAACCGATGAACCAAAAGTTTTGTCATTAAAATTTCTGGCGCTCGCATCGTCGACAATAAATTCACTCGAGCTGACGACGGTCTCGACCACAAACTCATCTGCAGGCACAAATGAATATAAATGGTTAGCTCCTTGGGCTCCCCTTGCCTGCATGCCTTAGATAGTCGCATCGCGAGCTTTGCATATACAGTATTTGGGCTTAGCCCGAGTTAATAATGCACTTACCTTCACACATTTTGCCCGTGTAGCCGGGACGGCACGCACAGTAAAAGCTGTCCCCGCTGGACCAGCAGGTGCCGCCATGGGTGCACGGATTCGCGCTGCACTGCTGAAAGTACTGGGGTAAGTAGTAATCGCATTGGTTAGGATACATCCTCTTATCATTCGCATAAATGTACACATTTGTCCTACACTAACTAACAATTAATTGGGGGTTCTGTGTGTGCAACTGGCATATTAAATATTACACGCGCGCGCATAACTATGCGCCATAGCAAAATCTAATTAACTTGCCGGCGGCTGGCCACACCGCCAGACGAGCTCCTTCATCAGCTTCGGCTTTGGCGTCAGCTCCAGCCGGGTTCCACCAGCAGCTGCCTCCGCTTGTAAACAGGTCTGCCAACTACTCCTTCCCTTTCCTTCTGGCTGTCGCTGATGCTGACGTCGTGTCTGTCGGTGGAAATTTGTGGGCTGAGAAAACTCACTGGAGATGGTTTTCCCTCCTCTCGCGGTTAGAGAACATGTCCATCAACGTGAAAAGCTTTAATTATGGAGCCCTTGCGCCTAATTTATGTACACTTTATTAAGTTCTATTTTGCCAAAGAAAAAATATCAAGTCTTTGAGCGTTTATTAAATATTGTCAAGTGGGCTGCTAACATAGTTGGCGGTAATGAAAATGGTTGGCAAAACTTAATTGTGGCCTATTAAAGTTCTCTCCTGCCTACGTTGAAGCATAGACAGATAATAGATAGCCCTGAACAAAGAATTTCAACAGAAGCAGCCGAGTCACGATTCTTCTTCTGGGTGCTTCAAATTCAAAATTTCAGAAACAAATATATATTTTACGTTCGAGGCAATTTTCAATTTAAATTTTGTGTGGAGAGTGGATAAATAATTCAACTCTCGACTATAATTTTAGCAACATCTATAGAACAGATTTAGAGATCGATTTTAGACCGAAACAAGACCCTTAAACAAGTTCTATTGTGTGAGATACGAATATTGCTCGCACCGTAGTTTTCTTTGAAAACAGAGTATAAATATTCGAACTTTCTGAACAGGTGTTGACAAGATTTTGCAGATATATTAATTCGTAATTGTTGGAATTGGATGTCTTGAAAGAACAGAACAGTTGCTTGTGTAAAAGTTAATAGTCAGACAATCTATTTAATAAAATAATGCTCACGTATTTAAAGCATATGTTCCCCTGTGTGAATAGCGATGGCCAATTGCAGATTCTACTTCATATAGTCGTTATTCCGATCACAATATTGTGCCAAAGAGTTTTCAAAGCATGGAAGAAATGGGCTAAATCTAAGTTTATACGGTATATTAAATATTTGTTTAATTGAAAAGACGTCCTAACCAAACTAGCTAAATATTCGTTTCATTAGAGGTGCCCATAGAATCCATCAGTAAAAGCTTAAGTTATAATTAAAACCCATTTATTGTGTCGGGTAAAATTGTGATAAACAAGTTTTTATCCACTCTCAACTAAACTAAATTTGGGTCAAATTAGAAACAAAAAAAAACCATCAAGCCTATGTTTAATCAAAGTGATTGCATTTGGTATTTGGTAAACAATCTAGAAGCGTAAATCAGTAAAAAGTACACAGAACACGAACTGCCGCAACATAAGCTCCAAATATTATACTTTGGAATTTTACAACTGGGACAATTACAAAGTTGCATTGAACTGAACATTCCTCCATTCAGCATGGCTGTGTCTATTGGTATGTGTTGGGACAACGGGTGGCTGCCCGTTGTCAGCAAATTGTGGGTATTTTGGGCTTTTTGCCATGCACATCCAGCTGGGCCACAGTCCGTGCAGAAAAACGGTCGGTCCAAAGCAGCGCCAGCTGAGTGCATAAATCATGACTTACCGTTCGTGGCATTTGATTACAATCCGGTCCGTTGCGACCTCCTGGGCATTCGCAGCTGAAATCATTTCCATGATCAATACAGCGATGTCCTTCGGGGCACGGCTTATTGGCGCAGAAATCAACCTAAAACAGACGAAGGCAATAAGAAAAGGCAAACCCTCAGTTTATTGAAAAGCCGGACTTCATTAGATATTCAAAAATCTGCCTGTTATTGATATGGGCATATGTGGGTGCATATATTAGCCATGGTAAATCCAATCAATAATATGCCAATTTGTTTGCCTTGACAACTAGCTACAGGCTGATAAGAATACAATTTCACACGTTGTTGTGCATATTTATAAATATTTTGAATTTTTGCTATGCAAATATTTATTTAACAAAGGAAGGACCGGGAAACTGTTTACAAAGAATTTTCATTAAATCTGGAAATGGAAATTAGGAAATGTGTGAAATAAATTTCAAATATATATATATATATATATATATATATATATAAGGACGAAGTCATTCAATCCATCAGAGGACCAATTGTGTTTGTCTAAAGGTATTACTAGCTAGTATTGGCCGAAAGGCTGGTTGTGAACATTCAGTTGCCTGAATGACTGAATCATTTAGATGACTGATTGCGCAATAACTCGAAATGTGTACATTTCCCTACATACATGAGTCGAATACATTTGATATTTATTAATACTTAAATATATATGGAGAATTGAGCACAGAATACGCAATAATCACACTTATACGATTCGAGTATCAAAGTGTCGCATTGCGCAGTCCGTTGGCTGTCGTCTGATTTGTTCTCCTTGACACTCACCTTTATTTGGCAACGGTTGCCTGAATAACCTTTCGTACAGCGACACTCAAAGCTGCCGATGTGATCGATACATTCGCCGCTGTTTTGACACGGATTCGATTCACATTCATTATATTCAAAGTTGCACAGCTCGCCAGCAAAGCCTGCAAGAAGAGCCAACCGGGGCAAAGGGGGTGTAGTTGGGGGTAATGTTAATGTGCAAAACAAATGAAATGGAAATTTCAGCGAACTGGATATTGGCAACTCGGAAACCGGAGCCACATTTGCTTTTTCTCTTTTTTATTTTTTATTTTTTGTTGTCGAGCTTGATTTGTGCAAATTGTGTTTGTGCCAATGAAATAATTTATAGGCTTCAGTGCAGATTTTATTGCTACATTGTGCTTACATTTTGTCGGATTCGCACAGACATAGTTGAGCTAGAAAATAATTGGACTTTCAGCTTATATAAAGATTTCAGAAAACATAAGTTTGTGAGTAATGCCTGTTATAAATTGTACTAGGAAGTGCTAGTATAGTTAATCTAGAGACTTGAAACTTTGTTAGCAATTGGGCAATTGTCAAGTCTCTATATAAAGTGATACGAATACACGGACGGACAGGTATATCCTCTTTTCGCGGCTATTAAAATAAACTCAAAATAAAAACTTTTGACTTTGGAACTAGACTGAGTCTGTTTGATCACTTACCTGGCTGACAGAAGCAGCGAAAACCATCTTCTTGATCCACACAAATACCATGCACACAGGGCGAGGATTCGCATTCGTTTAGGCTGTGCTGGCAGAGTGGACCCGTGTATCCCGGAGAGCAGTCGCAGCTGCAAAAGTGGCAATGTTTAATCTTTTTCTATTCACTAAGCTCTATTTAATAAGCCTAGGTAACAAGTGATATTTATAATATGCATAAATAGAAAGAGCATGACAAAATTGTTGGGTACATGTTCGTCGAGCATACTCTTGCTTGGAGTACTTTTAGGTGTTTGCGAATAAATCGAACGACAGACAACACTTTGCTGGCTTAAGCCACTGTCACATGGGATCTGTGGGCTAGACAATGTACACTTACCGAAAGTGCGTTGAGTTTCCCAGGCAGCTGCCGCCGTTCATGCACTCGGCTGGATTGCAGAGATCCGATTCGTATTGACAATTTTTGCCCGCATAGCCTGCATCAGTGCGACACAAGGGGGTTATTAGCAAGATTGGCTTACAACGCTGCTAAGGAGAGAAAATGGCCGCTCATTAATGGCCTTACCGTATGGACACAAGCACTGATACGAGTTGCCCTCGTGGCCCTGGGAGAGGTCGACACAAATGCCATTGTTGGTGCACGGGCTGGGATTGCAAGCATCAATTTCCTCGCAATGGGGACCTGCAAAACCGACGCAGCACTGACACTCGTACTCCTCCATGGCCCCGTTCGAGTAGCACACGCCCTTGCCGGAGCAATCGGCGCCCTCGCCGCAATTGTCGGTTTTTGTGGTCACCTTTAGGCGCACACATTGCCCTCCCCACAGCTCGGACACCACTATTAAACAAGAAAAAAAGGGTCGTGAAATTAATTAAAGTCGGTCTAGGCAAAAAATTGTCCCCAAAGACAACGAAAAAGTTAAATAACAAAACCTAAAAGGCACGGAGACGGCCGCAGCTTTGATACTCTAACAAAGTTAGCAAATATTTATGCTAGAATGCTTAATGATTTTTAATATGTTTCTTTTAAGTTATTTTAATGGTTATAAGCAACAAAAACTAAAGACTTTTATTCTGTATTTGAGCGTGTGACATAATGTCTGTAACTCAACCAAATGAAATTGTGTTGCAAGAGTATCTTCAGTGCTCATTAATGAACATTTTGAGGCGTAGTCTACCTACCAATTAACAAGTTAACTCCCTCAGTGAGGTCCTTATCATACAACGTAACCAGCTTCCTTCCATCGACCACCAGAGGCGTAATATCCAGGAGCACACCTTCGGTTACATCGCAATGTTCGTGGCCGGAACGTGTTACTTGGTAGACCTGTGCAGCATGCGCAGCGCTTTGGCTGTAGTTGGGGGAGTGTGGCACCCTGGAGGGTGCGTCAGGAGAATGAGAAAGAGAAAGAGGAAGGGAAAGGGAAAAAGAAAGAGGTAAAGTAAGTCGATGAAAGTTTAAGTTACAAATATGATGGCGCATTCAAGCATTTCTTGTCTCCCAACGCGCTGTGTACTTAATTAATTGAAATTATTTATAAGCATAGCTGCCCGTTTTGTAAGCGGAAATTAAATAGCACCGGGCGGAAATTAAATTAGCTGGCAATTATTTATGAACATCTGCTACTTTGAAAAAGTTATTCATTACCAGCATGGAAACTGGCCCGAATCCAGCTTTACTTAGGCAAATAGATTTCAAGCCCAAATAAACAAGCACATCAATATAAATAGTCTCCGTTGGCAAATAAAATATTATATTGACTTAATTCCCCAACAAACAACAGCTTACTTGGAAACTTAGCAACCTTTTACACAATGCAGCAAGCTGTTAAATTGCCATCTAACACAGAAAAATATAAAGTTTTCAACTGTCGATTGACTGATTGACTGATTGACGGACTGATTGGTGATAGACGCACAGCCACAGCCGAATGTATCTGCACTAAGACGGGATTTTAGAAAATTCCTGGCGCAGTAATGAAAAAACTTTGAAATCGGTTGCATGAAACTTTTGTTTTTCGTTTAAATTTCTTCTTCAAGATTTTTGTAAAAACTAATGGAGGACGTCTTTCGCAATGTGCGCAAAATTCCTAGATAAAAACTAAAGACATTGGGATTTTAGGTGCAAAAGGCCAAATTTTTTTCCGATTGACTTTAAACTTATTTTCTGTGTTCTACATAAGTCAAATTTCTCTAGGCGGCGCGAATGACTAGGTAATACCCTGTAGCTAGTTCCAAGCTACCGTAGCAAACATTCAAATTATACATACACCATGAGAAATGCAGTCTTCAAAAAATATATATGTATATAAATATTACATATTTTTAATGGAGACAGAATATAATTAATAAATTTTGACTTTGGAAAGTACATGGTCGAAAACGGACGGAAAACTTTTAATTGAAACTTTTTTAGTTCCTGTACCAATTTAAATGGCTAAAAGGGGATATGTTGCAGTTGTTAAAATGTTTATAGTATATCTGGCAGAAGAAAATTTCTCCGACTCTAAAAAGTATAAATAGTATAAAATAAATAAATAAATACATCTGGTATTTCCCGGCCTTGTCCAGTCTTAGTATATTCTTTAAAATTAAGCAAAATACAAATGTATTTTGAAAATTTAAGCTTGCACCTATGTCAAAAAGTACGGTATTCGGTGGATAAATCAAAGTACTTTACACCACTTCCATAGGATATAAGGGGCAGGAGAGGGAGAGGGAGCTCAAAACTTTTCACTTCCAACCTATTTGCCACCCGCTTTACCATATTATTTATTGCTTATTATTTTATCAATTATCAATTTGTTGGCTGTGATCCGCTCCCCTTTACCTTAAAATACACACATATTAAATCGATAAGAAAAACTTTTTTGACATCTCATTTTCATAATTGGCAACTTTCTTGCACACGCTCAAATGTATGCTACGCTATTTGTCTTTTTTCGTTCCCCAACTTAAAAAATCCCTACACCTTACCCAAAATGGATGATGTATTGTTAACAGACGGACAAAATATCCATTAACTTTGTGCGACCGTCACTTTGCCCCAAGCAACTTAAATTGAACGTAGGCGCTAAATTTGAGGTATTTCAAGCTTGCCTTGGACCCTCGCACAAAGGAACAGAATATCTTTAAAAGTTTGCGGCTGCAAATAAATTTAACATTTTGCTGAAAATTTGAGGATGCATAACACAACCCAAAAGTTTATTAATATATTTATATGTTTACGACTATGCCGTGCACATGCTTAATCCTGGCTTTGTGCACTCTGTCAAGACAAAGCCAAGAGTGCCAGAGGATACAGAAATACAAAAAAATAACCCAAAGCTACCAATGAAACGTGATAATTGTCACAGCTTTTTAGCAGCATGCGGTCAGCAGCTGAGCCCTGTTTTTTACCAAACTCTGGACACCCGGACTCTCTGACCTCAAAATGACTAATGGCCAGCGGAAAGAATTCCGAACTACAACAGCACCCGACTAGCATTAATATGCACATTTAGTAAGAGATTTGCCAACAGTAGAAAGTAAACAAAAAATAGAAAAATATAAGCAAGGAAAACAAACGAAAATACGTGATAAAAGTACATGTGCGAGTGCAAATATATGGATATATACAAATACATGGACAAATATACATATACATATACATATACATATACATATACATATACATATACATATACATATACATATACATATACATATACATATACATATACATATACATATACATATACATATACATATACATATACATATACATATACATATACATATACATATACATATACATATACATATACATATACATATACATATACATATACATATACATATACATATACATATACATATACATATACATATACATATACATATACATATACATATACATATACATATACATATACATATACATATACATATACATATACATATACATATACATATACATATACATATACATATGCATATACATATACATATACATATACATATACATATACATATACATATACATATACATATACATATACATATACATATACATATACATATACATATACATATACATATACATATACATATACATATACATATACATATACATATACATATACATATACATATACATATACATATACATATACATATACATATACATATACATATACATATACATATACATATACATATACATATACATATACATATACATATACATATACATATACATATACATATACATATACATATACATATACATATACATATACATATACATATACATATACATATACATATACATATACATATACATATACATATACATATACATATACATATACATATACATATACATATACATATACATATACATATACATATACATATACATATACATATACATATACATATACATATACATATACATATACATTACATATACATATACATATACATATACTAAGAGAAAGAAGGGCGAAAATCTAAAACAATTTAATCTACTGAAAAAGGTCATTCTGATGGCAGTACGTGAGTCACATGAAATAGAGACCTGTGGAACCCAATGGTCGATTGGGTGCGCTGGTGCACTAAACATATAGTGCCCCGTTGTGCGAACGTGCTGAAGTAAAATCAATAAAAGTTCCTAATGTATGTTATTATATATTAAGCAGAAGAACAAGCACGTCTCAAACAGCATTAAAGTACTTTAAATGGAAATAACAGGCAAAAAGCTCTGCATGCACGCTAGAAAATGCTAACAATTATTTAAAGCCATGCGTAGACCAAAAAGACAGGGCGGAGAACACGGGAAGCTCATCTAAAGGCATTTTTGGGGATTTTCTTCATAGGGCGGGATGATGTTGCTGGTATATCCAAAAATGCTGACGATGTTGATGATACTCAATAATAGTTGGCCTTACTTTAAAAAACTAGAACCGCTTTTAAGAGACTGTAAACTTATTCGTGAACTTTTATGCGCGCCAGACAAAATGTCAAACATTTTTTCGGGTCGGGCAAACCGTGAAAATCGTTACCTCCCACATTCTTACACGTTGAGCACGTTAAAAATGGGTAGGAAGAACAAAAAGTGCAAATTTATGTAACAGGCAGAACGAAGCATCTTCGACCCCATAAAGTATATATATTTTTAGTCATTAATAACCGCGTCGATCTAAAGATGTCTGTCTGTCGGCTACCTGAGAGATTATACGAGCTAGATACTTGAAACGTTTAATGTAGGTTCCACTATGCCGCGAAGATATCATGAAATAGATAAAAATCAGTTTTATAATCCTTTGAGAATATCTCGGAGAAGAGCTGAGATATCAAATTAAGCATGTAAGTTCTTCTAGTATAGTATATATTGATTCAGAATATTCCACTGGTGTTGGTATTTACACACACTTGTATGTCATATTTATGTCATACAAATGTCATATTAATGTCATAAAGATAAACTAATTAACAGCCAAGTTATTCCTCCCTCGGGGGGAGGAAAAACAGCAGCAGCAGCATAAAGTACGTATGTAAGCTGGAGCGTGTGTAACGCATCTCGCTGTTAGGTTTAGGGTATCTCTAGCTTTGCATTCCTAACTAAAGCACTCTTTGAAAATCTCGAGTAACCAATTTAATAAGCTGCTTTAAAGTTGAGGCCAAAAATATTGCATATATTAAGATCCCCTTGTCAATAGAGACTTTCGCAGGGGGTTCCACAGAACAACAACCGTCTTGATTGTAAATACCCTCTTTACTTGTTATCGGATAGAAATTGATGCACAGACAAGCATTTACCTGGTTGTGTTGTTCTGCACATTTGCTGTCCTCAACTTGGCATCGTTGATTTCGACAATTAAAATATCACCGGACTGGATGTCTACTTCGCCTTCCCACGTGTACATATTAGGAGTACAAGGCTCACCGAGTTGGCATTGTTCCGGGATCTGCAAAAGAAGAGTTGTAAAATTGTTTTAACATTGTCACAAGTTAGGGGTTGAAGTAAAAGCCGCAAATGTCTTGTTCCCTAAAAGTTAGCAGTCGAGGGGATTAAAAGGTTGGTCGGTTCGCTCTGTATGTGATGTGGTTTGTAGCCGCAAAGCCCAACATGTACATGAAAAATTAAAATAAAAAAAAGTGTTTATCTGAATAATTTAATAATTTCAGTTTCATGTGCTCGTCTAATGTAGTAGACCGAGTCCCCTTTAAAGATATAGCCTTAAAAAATTTGCATACTGACTACGACGAACCTCATAAACTTTGTCATATGCGTAATCCGCCCTCGTGAGGATTACAGCTTATGTCCAGAGTAGGTGGAAGCATATGGAATAAACAAGGTTTAAAACACAAGCCATATGCGTATATCCAACCAATGAAAATCACTTTTTATTAGTTTGGGTTAATCCACTGCCAAGCTGCAGGATATAAGCAAGAAATTAGTTACAAGACAAATGAGTACCCTAGTCGAGTGTGCACAACTAGGAGATAACCTGTATCCAGCTCCGAAATTGCTTTTACTTGTGCTAATTCTCCCTTCTCCACAACAGAATATGCATATTAGAATAGTTTAATTAAGTCTTAAAATGGCATTCAAATGGGATATGCCAAAGTGCAAAGCTAAGCCTCTACAAATTATTTTCTGGAGGGAAATATTTAGGAGACAGGTATACAAAAAGTAGAATAATCTAGAACAGTGTGTATTAATCTAGCCCCTACACAATTGGTATTTCTAGCTCTTATCATACATATATTTGCACAAATCATTCTACCCTCCTTAACCCATTTCAGTGAGTACAGGGTATAAGAAGTGTGCGTTTGTGGCTTTCGACAAGGGTCTCGTCTGAAAGTTTGTGTATTTTAGCTCAATTTTAAGCGGTTTAATTTGAATACGTTCAAACGATTTGCCTGTGTGCAAATTAAAGCAGTTCTAATGGCTCGTATCTTGTGAAAATATATTTTGCGGTATAATTTTGCTGTCCGGCGTATATATATAACATATGTATAAACTAAAAAAACAACATGTCAGAAATTTAATAATGAAAAGTAAATTAATTTGCTCATATATTTTTAGTCCATTTATAAACATAAAAGTTATTTTCGTTTTATTAATGAGAGAATACTTTGCAGAGAAATTTGAACTACAATTATTATTATTAAAAAAAAACAAAAAACTTTTTGTCCGGACTGACTGACTGACTGACGGATTGTCCAACATTCTGATTGATGATGTATGAATAGCTCAAATCATTTTCAAATGGGTAAATAAGGTTATCTCTTGAATTAGAGAAAAAAAGTTGGGCAAAGCTAAGTAATAAATGCTAGTTAGTTTATATATTTGAATCTGTTTTTCCGACTGGTAATCAATGCTTTTGACTGAATATTGAAAAGATGAAACAGTTGTATACTATAAGAGCTAGAGACTTGAAATTTTAGCTGAAGGTCCTCCTAGTACCCGAGCAGATCGAGTTTGTTTCCGATATTCGATAACTTGCCTCGTTTCAAAGTAATCGATAAAAATCGATATCGAAATCCTGTTTTTTGAGCAATTTTGGGAAAATAATAGGAGCTAAAATCACCAAACTTGACATGTACTTTCTAGAATAGTATATATATATATCAAGTATCTTTAATTTTATGGTTATCGCCTGTTGGAAGAAGAGGGTTTAGGGTATCCCCTAGTCTGGAGCTCGCGACTAGAACCTCTTACTTGTTTTCATTTTGTTTTAAATGGCCGCAGCACTGACGGAAATTAGATTTAAATAACATTTTATGAAAACACTATTACAAGTCACTATAAAACGATCCAATCAGGCGCAATAAGCATATATAAGGAACGCGAACATTTGACAACGAGCGGATAAGCTCGTAAAAGGATAGTCAATCAGTCAGATAGAAAATAAGCCAACGATTGACTTCCTCAAATGAACCCAACAAATTTAATGCCTTGGAAAGCTATACAGTCAGCACGCTGCTTTGCCTAGCTAGATAAGTTATTGATTATTTGGCTACATCTGCTGCATGCGAGTCAGGAAGCATCTCTAACAAGTTTACCGGGAATATCGAGGGTCAGATGTTTTTTGAAACTCGTCCTCCTGGCTGAATATGTAAAAAGGACATTGGAAATCAAATAATGAAGTTTCATTATCTATATTAGGTCACATTTGATGAAACATTACAAAAACTAACAAAGCACAATGCTGCAAACGGTCGCAACCGACTACGCAATACTCTGTTCGTGTTCCATTTGATTGATGCCTTACAGACTTTGTGACGACATATTTAAAGGAGATTATGCCGTTGTGGAGCTCAGATCTAAAATTGTGGAGGATTATGATTACACGAGTATATTCGTATGAGAATGGACGGAGCCAATATACTCCTTGCAGCTCGTGATGGCAGGGCATAAAAAGGCTTACAATTTTTAGCCCCAGCTTTGCATTTTCTGTTTATTTCGTCGTAAATCAAGTCATTCACTATTACATACACAGCCCGGCCTGAAAGAAAATTCAGCAACGCAACAAAATAGTCATTTGCAGTGTCCCTAGACAACAATTTAAATATATTTTGGCATTTTTGTTGTTTTTACTGCTTTCGAGTTATCCTTGCGCTACCTTTTCTTCAAAGTTAAATTGTTTTCTATCTCTGTCTTTGTTTTCAAATTGGTTTTTGTGTGTCTTAAAAGCTGTTTTATTGCCATAAACCGAGCGTCCATCTCGGGCTGTTTCGCCTGCCATTTTGGGATTAATTTTTGTTTAAATAAACATCAAAATTGATTTTCTGCCTGCCTTTGATCAGAACAATTAAGCTTTCCTTTTATGCTTTTCATGCATTTAATTGCAAGCTTGCTGCATATTGTTAGCTCAAGCGAAACGCATTCAAGGTAAAAAAGTTATCGTCAGATTGCAATAGGTAAATACACCTGCTTAATTACAACAAATATGAGATGTATTTGTAAAATTGTTTTTTAAAAAATCACAATTTTCATGCAGTCGTTATGATATATGCTATTTTCCGCGAATTTAAACAGCACAATAAGTCTCGGAACTCATGAGCTTAGTTAAGACTTAAAAACACAAACTAAAAATGAATTGTTCAGGAAGGAAAAGGAAGTTCCTGTCAGAGTGTTTTCCCGTTAGCTTAGTAATATTGTTAGCTAGTCAGTTTTGATAAGATAATATTTAAAAAAAAAGATATTCATATAAGAAAAAAACAAGAAAATTTATAGCACGAATTTCAAATTCCATTTGCTATTTGATAAATGTGTAGATAGATAAATTTAATACTGAAAGATTTGTGTCCACAGAATCAGACAATTTATATATATTGACTAAGGTCGTTTTATATTTTATTTATATGGCAGCACATAAATAAGTAAAATACATTATTAAAATTTATCCGCACTGACTGACTGATTTATGATCTAAGCACATCTAAAACGTAAGAGCTGAGAAGCTTAAATTCATACCTGGCTATCTTATGTGATGAATGTGTACTCTAAGAAGTGGGTTAGGGGGATTCCCCTCTTGAGTGTAGTTTTTTTTACCGTCCGATCAGCCTAAAACTCGCTTTCCTAGTTCTTCGTTTAAACTAATTTGAAAGGTGTTTCAAAAGACAAAAGTGAGGGTCAAGTGTTAGTTTGAAATAATTCGAGACATTTCATGGATAGAATGTGAAGGTCAATGCTTTCTCTGATAATGAAGCTGTCCGTATAGCGGCAAAGTCTTCTTTCTCTCCCACAAGCTGCATAAGTTAAGGAAAGTTTAGAATACAACAACAAAGATGCTCTACAACGGTTGTAAGCTATTTATTGGCAATTGACAGAGTCTTGCGCAGTCGGCTGTAAAAGTAAAAAAAGAATAATGCGTACCTTGCATATAATTAACACTAAACTTTGAGTTGGCTTTTGGATCTTGGAAAAAAAAAAATGAATTCTAGGCTGCAAATTAATTAAAGAACACATTAAAAGGAAGGACGAATAAGTAGGCTCACAATAGAAAAAAATCAATATTGGGTCCGAGCTCTCTTGGGATTAAATACCTTTTGTACCTTTAGTTGTATTTTATTTTTGTTAACATTTTTTCTGTCCTATTTCCGTGACTCCTTGCATTGTTTTAGTGCCCAATGTGAACGTAATTACCGTACGCTGAAATGGTACGAGGAAGCTGCATAAAAAGCAAATAAGGGTGACTAGAAGATACTCTGGACCTTATGCACAGAAGCGTAGATACACAAGCACGCCCGCCGCAAGCTGTACACAAAAGTCCCATCCTATGGGAGAATCGGAGCTTATTGTCCGATCTTTTTGAAATTTGCAGCTCATAAATATGGCAAAAAATACCTTGAAGATTTTAGTCCCGGAAATTGACGCACTTATACATACGGACAGACAAACGATGGGACGGACGGACATATGATGTGACTTTCCTAGATCGACTCAGCTTGTCATCCTTGTCAAGAATTTCAATGCAGCAATGCAGTCAGCTCGACTGGGTCCAGGGTATCCCCTAGCTGCCGACTTTTACCTGCTACTACCACTCGGAAACTTATCTCCCCAGCCATACCAAACCTTTTCATACAAATTACTAGTCCATGGGCACTTTTTGCTGTTGTCTGTTGAATAGCTGCCGAACTAATTGTTTAGCCTGTTCGGCAGAGCTGTGGCTCAAGTTGTCTTCTATTATCAGCGTTTCAATTGAATTGCTTGGATTTAGTTTGTTTTGCTGTGGTAATGTTAAGAGCTAAATAAGGTTTCAATTGTTTAGAGAACAACAAACAATACACAAAGCCGTAAAGCTCCATATCTTTTTATCTCAAACTATCCCCCTGTCTCCGTCTCTCTTCGTCCTTATATACATACATACATACATATAAATTTGTTGTATCTTTGTAGGACTTACCACATTTGGGAGGAGGAGCTCGTGCGTTTCGTTGCCACGCCACAGATGCGAATCCTGCGGCACATTTTGTATGTCACATTCAAGCGAATTGATTTTCTCCTGGAGACGACTTAAAATCCGCGGCGGAGCAATTGGCTTTAATTCCGATTTAGTAAGATTAGCTGAATGACGTGGTCTCTCCACGTCTGGACTTTGCTTTGAGGCAGACGTTGTTATTTTGATTTTGGCCGAGACCACTTCCAGCTTTTCCAACTGCGGGTCGGCGGCATCCTTCAGCAATAATTTAGCACGCTTAAGCTCCTGCCCATATTTTATGGGTTTCACAGTAGACCATTTACTCGTTGTTTTTGCTGCTGAGGCGCCGTCAAAACTTTCCGCCGTAGTCGTCAAAGTCACGCGTCTCGGCGGCAAGTGCGTGGTAGGTGGGGGCGACTCCGTCGAGCTGCTTGCCGCCAAGTTTGCGGTTTCGCTTGCTCTAATGACTTGACGTGGCTGCTGCTCTGAACTTTGCCCGAAACTCTCAGTCAATGCTGGGCCCTCTGATGACTTTATAATGCTGCTCCCAGTGGGTGCAGTCGTCCCTAGCGCAGTGCCAATTTCTTTCATTAACTTTCGTTTATTGTGCAACAACATTTCGTTGTACAACTCTTTGCTGTTGTAGAACTTTGTGGTGGAGAACTCGGGATGCGAGGCAACGGCTGCCTCCGCGGCAGATGCCGCCGCATCCGTATTGAACTTGGTGTTGGCAAAGTCGACGTGTGGTATGCCCATGACATCGCTGGCCCGTTGCTGCATCGGAAACTCGAAGCTTTTCTTCACACGCCGATCAATGTAGGTGTCGCCCGGAGCCAGCTGTGGCAGCCCATGCGCCTGGCTCCTCCTCAAAGGAGCCGCGGTTGTAGTTTCGTGCAACTGAAACTTGCGCTCGATTTCCGTTATCAAGTCATCTTGCTCAGCCAACAACTTGCCGGTAAAATAGCTAGGCGTGGACTCCACGCCAGGAGTGGTTGTCAACGGGGTTGCCGTTGCCGTCTTCATTGTCGTTGCCTGATTGACCCTTGGGTTGTCTACCTCCACCTCGTTGGGCATTAGATTCTGTCGGTACTCGTCGACATTATCGGGCTGTCGGAACACGGTACGCTGCCTGAGCAGCTCATCATTATCGCTCTGCATCATCGGCTGAAAGTCCTCCAGCTGCACCGGATACAGATCCACAATATTCAGCTTGCTCGCCCCCATCGGCTGCTGGGCCAATAGGGCACCATAGCGCGTCCGCTCATCCTCATTGAGATCGGCGAGCGTCTCGGCCACCTGGTAAGATTCTGCCGCCTGCATTTGTATATGTATTGGCAGAGCTGGAGAGTCGCCGGAGTCATCCTCCCCTTCCTGCTGCTGCTGCTGCTCAATCTCTGCTGCTGGCTCGCTTAGCCTAATGCGGTAAAGCCTGTCAAAAACGCCGCTCAGCGATGCGAGTGGCGGCACGTTTGTCGTCATTAGCTCATCCGCCGCTGTGGCTGCTGCTTCCGTTGTGCCAGCTCCTGTTGGTCCAGTTGAGATTGCATATTCCCGTGTTGTTGTTGCTGCTGATGCTGATGCGGCAACCTCGCCTGCTTCATTTCCGCTTGGAATGGCCGCGGCTGCTGTAGCTGTCGTTATGGGCGTGGTCGAGGCAGAGGTGGTAAGCCCAATTTGTATTCCCGATAAAGTTTTCGCTGTACTCTCGAAACGTTCCGATTCGCCTACGCCGGGGGCACTGACCACTCTGTGGGCGTAGCTGCTGTGCGAGTCATTTGTTATGGTAAAAGTTGCTGATGTTATTGGCGATGCTGTTGTTGTTGCCTCGCCCGTTTGTGCCGCCGTGCCGCAAACTGTGCAGGCAATTACAAATGTTAAAATGCACATTTTAGCTATTTTCGCTAGCATTGCGGAAAGTATTTTGCCGCCTGTGGCTCTGGTAACAAGTTATTCTTATTCTAAATGTTTTTCTTTTTCCTTTAGTTTGTTGCTTGTAGCTTGTTGACTTCATCTGCCTTGGCTCATGCGGATGCTGCAGCAAAGAAAAATAAATAGTTCAGAAATATTATCTCAATATATTATTGAAGGTCATTTACAGCTAAATTTGAACCACTTAGTTCGTGTTTGACTTAGTAATCAAAAACAATATAGCAATGGGTATTTAATTTTAATTTTCAACAATTTATATTCCTTCAAATCCTATTAATCAAGCAAAATATTCTGTGGGAAAGTGAGTTGATCAAATGTTACACTGGATAAAAAAACGTGCCAACAAGCCATAACTTGGCTTCTGGACCCTTTCCTGCTCAAATGAAGCTAGGACCAGAACGGAGTGCGTCCGGACTTAATTGAAACTTGCCTCAGATAAGCTCTGATGTATTTACAGCAGTTTTTTATAGAAATCATTGTCAAAGGAATTGTCTTTTACATCTGATCACAGAAATTTGCGGTTTATTAAAAAGTCTTCTACGCCATCTGCAGCATTCGCTTCCTCGCAAAGCTGTCCCGCCGGAGCCAGGTAAAGATTTTCAGCAATTATGACCGCATAATGTTGCCTAGCTTTATGTTAATTTTTAAGGAAAAAGGAAACTGTTTTCCGCTGCAATAACACTGCTGGAAAGTTTAAAAAATAAACTCAGCTCTCTCAATAGCCTAGCTTTGAACTGTTTATTAATATTCCTGCTAAAACGGACTGATGTTAGATGACATTAATACCTAACATAATACATATCAGAAACCATTGAATGAAAGGACTCCCTGTTTGAAACCTAAAAGACAGTTCACGTCTTTGACAGATCTTAGCCCACAGGGCCGGTACAAAGTGACAATGACTTCCTTTCAAATTGCAGTCTGATTGCCCGCCCCCGGGAAGCAAGGCTCACAGAAGTGCAGAGATCTGCTTGAGTGGAGTCTTGTACAACACTCCAGACTCCTAGACTTTGGGAACAGAGACATGCATGTAGTTGCACAGACTCCTATTAGACACCGATGGACGATGCTATAAATATACTAGATTATACCCCTTGAAACTGAAAACTGTTCTAGATTTAAGACAAGAGTATATCAGGGAGAAGTCTGTTTTTGCCTGCGTAAATGCAATTTGAGTGATAAATTCAAATAAAATCCGGTGAATAAGAACAGCTAGGAACGCTCTAGTCGATTGCATTCCTCTAAAAATCTTACCTCCGGCCTGTCTAACGCAAATTCTCATTATTGCCTAAGGTCGCAGCTTGCAAGTCTTTGTCTTCTGGCTATTTTGTCCACTATACTAACCCAATCGTGAAGAGTACAGCTTTTGACTGATGAAAGTACTTGAATATTGTTTTCTAATCTCAAAAAAAGTGTTTGCTGTTTGTCGTACTGTAAATATGTGTAACAAAATTCTTAACCTCGTTATTTGCCCTCGCCGGTTTAGGTCTTGCTCGTGAGTCTAATTCACAAATGAAATATTGAGCCCATTTAAAATTTTCTATTTACCATAAAAAAAGAACCATGTGAAAATTGCTTATGTTAACGTAAAAATGCTTGGCTGCAGAAAAATAAAAAGGGCACAATCAGAAAGGATGCCTCAGGATGAGACTGGCTGCGCAATACCCTGTTTACGGTTTAATAACATTTAAAAATAGGTATACACAAAAAAACCTGCCGATTATATTGTTTAAATATCATTGGGTTTAAACAAAAAATTGGGCAGTCACCTTCGAAGTTTACCTTAAAGAAGAGAAGATTTTCATGATTTGTAAGGGCTGAAATAGGTGTGGCATTAATATATTTTGCGTGTCTTTGTTGCTTGTAAGCAGAGTATAATTTTTACGAGTATAGAAATTGAAAAACGAATAAAAATGTACCCGCAGAAAATTTGATAGCGAAAAGATTCTAAGGTCTATGTGAAGTTCGTTTGTTGCTGTTTTGCTCTTGTAATGTGTGCAAACAGTTTTAGCAAAAAAGGAAAATGTAAATAGAAATAAAGATGAAGCTTAATTAAAAATGCGGCCAAGCGTGATGTACACTCCGCACTGAGCCACCTAATATAAACGCACATAAATATATTGCCAACCGCAAAAAGCGGTGCACTTGGGCCAAACCGACTGCGCAATACTCTGTTTACTCTGATTACGAGAAGAATAGCCCTTAAATTATTATTTGAAAGCAAACTGTGAATTTTGGATACACAAATGTATTTATGCGGCTCATGATGGTTTGGGGAATAAAATATTATTGGTTCAATCGTAGATATAAGTACCTGTAATGTTTGTTGGGACTTGCTCTAATGCATTGGTAGATATAGGTGGAAAAAATCTTCGACATTTTAGCTAAGGAAAGCACTCTAAATATGTCAAGTAACAAGTCTCTACAAGCAAACTCTTAAAACCCTGTGTACAGTGTATAAGGTATGGCTGGGTGGGAAATAAATGCGGGCAGCGATGGGATGTTGCTGATAAACTTACGTTGACTACGTAATCGTTTTCCCCTATATGCGTTTCTTTTATTTAGAAATGTTTTTGTTTGGGGCCGCATATTTTGGTGGCACGCAAAATATTACTTTGAAATCGTACAGTTGCAAGCACGGCGCTCAGAAGCTGAAGGAGGCTGCCCCACGCAATTGCACATTTTTAGGACGGCAACAAAGGCGAAAAGGACGAAGCTCTTTTATTCAGCTCTGAGCTAGAAAAATTTCAAGTCAAGTGCCGGCAAGTCGCTGCTTTGTGAAAACGAGTCCTATTCAAGGCATGCCAGGAGAGAGGTGAGCTCCACCGTGAGCTAAGACCAAGCCAAACAAGAGCAAACCGAACATAAAATACCCTGTTCTTACTTAATTACGAGCTAAGTTAATTCCCTGTCAATTGTTCCTAAATGAGCTATAAGAGAGAGTTTTGATAATATTCTGTGCATATGTCAACAAAAAAGTAAAGAGAGCTCTAGTCGAAAGTGCCCGTTTGGCGGTGTGTAGAGGGTATTTACTTTACACATCGCCAGGCGTCCGTAGCAAACATTGGAGGTTCCTTTTATACATTAACAAAAACACAGACAAACAGCGCCGCGATGTGCGGCATTTTGTTCAGCGTCTTTGCTTCTGTTTCACGCAGCTCCATAGAAAATCGTTCCGGAATTAGTTCTCAGTCTGATCTTTATAAAACTAATAGGCCAGTTCCCTTAGAAACATCCAGAAACAAAAGTCAGCTATACAATTACACTGAATGGGCATTGAGAAATCTCCTACAGTGAAAGCATATAAAATACGCTCTGCAAGGATTTGAGCACCACTCCACACGGAATGTCAATGTGTCGATGATTACTATCAGAACATAATATTCACTTTTGCCCCACGGTGGCATTGCCAGTGATGTAGTTGGAGTGTGCTACTTTGCGAAGAACTCACATTAATCTTTATTTTTATACCACAAAGATGAAAAAACATGACCGAAGAAGGAGGAACGAGTGCAAGTATCCAGTTTAAAACGCTTTTTGCTTAGAGAGAGAGAGAGAGAGAGTTAGAAAGGGGGACACATATTTAGTAGGTCGCTCTTAAGATTCTTAAAGCTTAAGCCACTCGAAATACATTATATGGCTGCCGTTTTTTACGATCCTGCGGTTTATGACGTTAGTGAACAACAGGACGGGGCTCTGAACATTCCTCCCGTAAGGGCAGTAAACAGTTTTTATATAAATATAGCAGAAGCGTGTTTCTAACTTAACGCAAAAGGCATGCCCCTGTTAAGAAGGAATCCGTTCAAGACATTAGGGGTGAAAAGTTAAAGTTCGTTCCAAAAATATTAGGAAAATTTGGCAAAATCTTTAATAGCATTTAATAACATTCAGACTTTTTAAAAAATATATGCCCTAAAATATCTAAGCAAAATTATTTGTTAAATATTGTACAGTCAAAAATTTAGTCTTGGTTCAACAATATTTAAAAGCTACTTAAAAATTTTCACATATTTGGAAATGAAGTGGAAAAGTTTCAAATATTACCGAGCTCTGGCTTTGTCAACTGTTTTGTCGTTTTATATACTCTGGTAACTCTGGTTTTATATACAATGGTAAAAAGTAATTATATTGAGCTTGTGCAATATCCAGCGCATTAGTTTGCACCCGACTGCAACTTTCTTTCTTTTTTAAAGCCTCTAAAATCGTTTTTTAATCAAAAAACCAACGATTTAGACTGCGCAATACTCTGTAAGCAGCTTACACAAGTTAAAGGGAAGACTATTTCCAAACTATGACTAGGAGATATCGATTTTGGCAATTATTTGAGCCAGGCTATGGGCGTGGCCACAATATTTTTAGCTTCATATTTAGAGGAGGTCACCAAAATAGTCTACGTGCCAAGTTTGGTGACTAGTACCAAAAATATGTAAGACAATATTTGGGTGTGCCCAAAAATGTTAAAACTACCAAAAACTCTAGAGTCTTGTATAGCATTTAAAGTTTAAAATAACCAGCATAGACAAAAACTTAAAAAAAAAACACAGAAAACGGGTATTTTGAAAACCAATGCACCTTTTTACCCCTTGTGAATAGAGTATTAATAGAGCAGTTATTTTCGGCGTGCCGAATATAAAATATTCTTACAAATCAGACTTGTGAATCGAACTGCTGATAAGTTTTTGTTCATATATAAAAAGGCATACTGAAGCGAGAAATCTCTAAAATTGGCTAAGATATTTTGAACAGCAAATGAGTATAATCTGGTTTAAAAACGGACAGCAAAGTTAGGATTAAATAAAGCGGACGAAACGGACGGCAAACGGACATTGCCTTATCGACTTAAGTTTATCTAGAATATATATTAATTTTGGAGTCGGGGATGCATTCTACTCAACGTCAGACAATTTCGCACGATTTTATAATATCCTCAATTAATATTTAAATCTATTGTTATTATGTAAAAAAAAAAAATATTATATTTAAAGCTAACTCTTAAAACTATTGCCTTATAATAAGTTTAATGCATTTTGTATTTACTTGAATTTTTCAGCTTTCCTGTTATTATGATTTAAATAATACATATTTTCACCAGTCACTGAATTAATATACGTTCCTTAGTCGTAGCACTATTTTGATTTATTTATATGATATTATTTTCTTATATTTCTGTTTTCTTATTTAAATTATTTTAAAAGTACACAAGCTCCTTTGGAGCGCAAGTATTTAAGTACTAATTGAAATAGCCACAACTCCCTAATTGTTTACAGAAATGCAAACAATTGAAACTTTCGGAAAACACAATTAGATTTGTTGGCGCGATGCTCTGTTCTCAGCTGTTGTTTTTGCTATCTGGTTGTCTAGAGTTTGGCGCTGACCAACCGTGAGGATTGAAATCTGCTCCGCTACTGAAGCGGTCTCGTCCCCAATGCAATGGATGCTGCGTCATCTAGATGAAAGCTTTGGGTTGCCATAAAACACGAGAGAAGCGCCATGCAGTCAATTTTCTCTCCGCCTTTGAGCATGCGCACAGCATCCGTGTTTCTGTTTTGGGTTCAATTTTGGGCCATTTGGCGGGTACGGGCCAGACGTGCTTAAAAATTACCCAAAACATTTACGTACAGCTGTCTGGCATCAGCTGGTGCGGCATTCAGACAGCAAAAGGAGGTCGAAGTGTACTCGAGTCGCAGTCATTTACCATTATTGTCTTATTTAATTATTTTACAATTTTAACATTTATTTTTGTCCATTTCATTCTGTGATTGCCTGAATTCGTTACTTCTGCCAATTGTCTGCAACAGTCGTGGGTTTTATTTTTTCACTGAGGAGAAAGCTTTTCATTATGCGCCCTAATGTGTGGGTAATGCATACAAAAGTCCTAATGGATGCTCATGTGGGTGATGCGGGAGAGCATTGACGTCGGCTCTTGGGTTGGGCAAACATAATGCCAAGTTTTTTTTTTTATACTCGGTGCACATTTTGTGCAATCTCTGTCCGTCTAGTCGTTTGTCTATATGCATGTTATTTTTTTTTTCGCCGCCATTAAAACCATTGAAGTCCTTTGAATGCAAGCTCGTGTAAATCCGCGTCAAACAAAGTGTTTAAATTGTTTGTTCACGCCTACCTAGAACCGCCCACGTTTGTGGGAGTCTACTTATGGCCTTATGGTCCCACGTCAATGCAATTATCAAGAAGACTTTCAGCTTCATCCATCCAATTTTCACAAATTTCATACTCAGGAGGCCTTTTTACAATCACATAGCGTAGTTTAGGCTTTGTATTTTTTCCAGCTATCGGAAGGGCGAGTAGGACTTTTAAAACTGGTGCAAAAAGTACATAATTTAATGAGACCAGCTGCCCCGCTGTTTGCCTGCAATCGAAAAGTTTATTAATAACAAACACGAGTTGGCAACCAGCGGCAGCGCTTTTTCCGGTCACGTTAAAACAAAGTAATTTATAAATTTTAATTAAATTATGAGTGCAGCCCGCAGAGTGAGTGTAATTATATTTAAACAGCAGCCGAAATATGTTTTTATATTAAATTTAAACAAGCGTGAGCGCTTTAGTCTAGAGTGACCGGCTATGAGATACCCCGTACCCAAAATGCATCCTTGAATAAAAATTGTTCAATATAAGAGATTTGTCTTTATCATACAACGCAGTTGATGCTGATCAAGAATAGATATACTTTATAGAAAACAGAGATGCTCCCTCAACAATTAGCACACATTTGCATACATTTATGGCATCCTCTATTACACCCACTTGCAAAGCTTACAGGGTATAAAACGGAAAAAACCGCCAAACCAGAATCGAGATCCAGCGGCGGGCAATATGCTCGGCGTAATCCGCGCTGTATTCGTAATGTATGCTTCTACGGAGCTGCTCATGTAGTGCATTATATAGTACACCAACAAAATCAACGTTATGCAAATTTAAATTTGAGTATAATGGAGAAAGGGACTCAGCATTTTTACACCCACTAAGAGGGTATTTTAATTTGTGCAGCAAATGTGTAACACATGGAAATGCTACCCGATGAAGTATACATATTTTTGAGCAAAATTTAAAACATAGTCAATATATTGTGTTCGCATTTCTGTTTCATTGATAATATTTTAGCTAAAAAGGTGCATAAATCGAAGTCAGCCAGATTAGGCAAATATATTATCCCACAGCTCCTATAGAAAGAATTGGATGATTTTTTATGAATCTTTGTATGACTTACTATAGAAATGTAAAACCCTTCTCTATGTTCGTAAGGGTGTTCAAACTTCGGTAACCCAACGACAACAGTTTATTCTTGTTTGTGTATAGAGAATATTTTCTATTCCCTTGCAGCTATATTAACATGTATGGGTGTGCTTGTGTTTTGCATACATATATCCACCAAACAACAAATATTTGTAATGAGCCTATTAAGTCATATTAAAGTCTAAGTACAGCCAATTTTATTAAAAAAAAAAAAGTCAGCATGACACAAAGTTACACACATGAAAAAGTTTTTAAGCTCTGGCTACATATGCGTACACATTGGGCCATAAAGGTAATGCAAATTGCTGCCAAAATGTGGATATTATAAATTAGACCGTCAGCTGGCTTAACAGCAGATGAACTGAACAGGCTGCTCTGAGCCAACATGCATATATTAGGCCCTGGATTTTAGTTATGGCACAGCCCATAAGCCTTACTCTTACCCGTACATATTTCAATAAATTAATAACATTTCCCTTTTCTCATATTATGTTATTTGCATACCCTGTAACTAAAAAATGGGTAAGAGAAGGACAGTTGTGTATGTAACTGCAGAAGGAGACAACTAGCTGAGTCGATCTAACTATGTGAAATGGAGGTTCATTTGAATTATGGTTTATTTACCTAACAAACCGATAAATATCGATTTGCTGCCCGCATTTTATAAACACTTATTGAGTTTACCAGACTGGAAAGAAGATGGACAGCTTGTGGGTGTAAGTACGAGTATAAATTTGGAGCTGATTTAAAGGGTATCTTGTAGGTGGGCAGCCTCTACTTGTTATAACCTTAAAATTATCAAGCTGCAAACTTTACAAAATTATATGTGTCACAAAAAAAAATTGTTTCCTATACAAATATATGTACTATATATAATTTGTCGGCTGAACGGAACTAACAATTCAGAGTGCATAAAATATGTCGCTACTTAAACTAATGCAATTCCAGTTACCCTTTGCAAGTAGGTCCTTTGCACTAAACCACATTGAAGAATTGCGAACTTGTTTATTTTAGAAGGGAATCTCAATATATATGCGGCCGCCAGACTGATCCGCCCTTTACTGAGGAGTCCCATTGCCCAAGTTGTCATTTCCTTTGCGGTTGGGTATTTTGCAACTACGAAGATTGCCCAGATCTATGCACTATTCACAAGGCAAGCTGATAGAAGTGCCTCGAAAGTGGACTATCCTTCACAACTGGCCACTGATTGCCGGGACAGTCGGGCTATACTCAAAGACCGACTGCCTCAAAAGTGCGAGGCTCTGCGGCTCACCCGTCGACAGTTGACGGCCTACGACGGAATGCGAGACAGCCAACCCATTTACACGGCGCTTAATGGTAACATTTATGACCTCAGCTCATCGCGGGATACTTTTTTGGGGCCGGGACCCTACTCTCTTCTGGCGGGCTGCAATGCCAATCATGTGCTTAATATTGCATGCGGCTCCATGGGCGTTTGTACCGACGATGTCCTCCAAAGATGGGAACGTAGTCTGAATGCCGAGTTCAATATCATTGGCTACTTGACTGACAGCGATGGCTCCGAAAGTGACGACAACGAAAGCGACGTCTCAACTATTGTGAGTAAGCGGAGTCAGGAGCATCAGGATTCTAATCACGAATCCAATTATTGTTAGGGTCCGGATTTTAGTTAGCTTTTCCCTAAAACACAACGCGTCGCAAAAGTGGTTAAAATAAAATAAAATAAAATATAACATAAAATCCTTATCGTTCCTTGCAAACAAATTTAACTTATGTTTGCAAAGAACGATAAGGAACATTTAGAAGTTAAAAGCCATCTTACTTATATTACAAGAATCGTCCAAATAGACCTATTTTCTCCATTTCAATAGGCGTTTGACAATAACAACAACTAATAAATGTTAAGCTGACCGGCTCTAAGTTAATTAAGGCCAATGAGCAGGTTGTCTTTATATCCATCAGCACTCTTTGCTATCGACTCTAGGATTGCAAACATCTCATATGCTATTCCAAGCTTTACTTTGTTGAGAATTGCAAGCTTACGCCGCAACAAAAATAAGCAAGAAAATCAGTTTATTTTCTGAGCGTGTAATTCTAAGGCCTTAGCTGTGCGAGTAAAGCTGCTTTGCCCTATATTCCTGTCTCATCTGATGTGCTTTAGGTTTGCAAAGATATATATCCTATTCCAAGCTTTAACTTGTTGAGGATTGCAAGCTTTAGCAACAACAAAAATAAGCGAGAAAATCAGAGTTGATTTTTTTGGCGTGTAAAACAGCTTCGCCCCTTATTCCTCATCTAGTCATTCTACTAGTAAAACCTGAACTGATAAAATTAGTTTAAAAGAGGATTTCAAAAGGTCAAAAGGGCTTCTGTAAAATTCCGCTCAGTTATTGAAGCCTTGCACCATTTAAGCTCTACAATTGGCTGACTGCCTGGCATGTGGCCGAAATGGTTTTCCATTGAAAAGAAGAAAAGAAGAATGAAAATGTCGCTGGTGTCGGCGACATCAACAAATTCTGCGTTTTTTGTCACCTCGGGCAAACTTTTCAGTTGTGCCAAATTCTCAATAGAGCAAAATTGAATTGGTAAAAGAACTGAAGCGGGGCAGGTGATACAAGGAGGGGGGCCATCAAAACCATCAGGTGCTACACAGCTAATAAAATCAAAATTACTTTTTCGCAACAACAATGCTCCTGATACAGCTACGTGCTTAAGGAGTTGTAAAAAAGTTGTCCAAAAAGTTTGAGCACACACTTAAAAATCAGCCAAATGTACAAAAACTCAACACGCAAGGCACACGGCACGCAACTCGGCTCTAAGTACCGACATATCTTTGATAAGCAAACACCAAATGTTATTTGATGTGTTTATTTCGATTAAATTTAAAGCTTTCAAAATAAATAAAAAGCCGAGGACATACCCTGCAATCAAAATCAATAGCCCTAACACACTGCTCAACATGGAATCCAAAGCAACCTGAATAAATGTACAATTAAAGTTCTAAATATAATAAAGATTCTAAATTCAGAAGTCTCAGACACAAATTGCGTCCATAAGGACAGACAAAAAGACGGACCAATTACCTCTTGTTCACTTTTTAAACAGGGTATTCAAACAATTAAGCAATATCTCATATGAAAGTATAAATTTCAATCCGATATGATAATCAGGTGGGCCTGAATACAGTTTTTTAACCTTTAATCATAAGGGCAATCATATATAAAGTTTGTTCGACATGTAGATATTTCAAGTTTCAAGATTCTAAATTTAGAAGTGTCAGACATAAATTGCGGTCGGGCCATTTAACTCTTGTTCAATGCAATGTCTCATATCAAAGTAAACATTCAATCCGAGACGATAATCACACACGACCAGGAGGAGACCAGACGCTGGCGGACTGCGATGCTAGCGACGCCCATTGTTACACGACGGGAATACAAAAACCTAATTAACCGCGAAACTGGGGATTCCGACAGCCAGCCTATGCTTGGAGAGCCAGCGAACCGGAAGCCCGCCCAGCCTCACCGTCGGGTTTATGTGACAGACGCAGCTGTGCCCGTCGTTGTCGTCGTTGCTCGACTTTTGCAAATAACACGGTTTTGAATATAAAGTGCTCAAATTACATGGGCAAACACATTTGTACTTTGTAATTAGTTGCGCCATGCGAATATGCTGAGAGTTAATTCCTCGTCTTGGTTGAGCCTGGCCCAATAATTTGAAGGGTGAACATTTTGGTCACATACTCGATTTCCATCTTTAACGCTGCCAGTTAGAATATTTGTGCCAAAAATCGTCGACTCATATCCAGTACTCAGGATTTACATAAGAGTAAATTTAGAGTATGTATCTTTAAAAAATCACGGGACACGAACATGCAAAGCATCCACACTCCTCAACAACTTTATTTGACGAATATGAAATATGCATGTATTTTATATGTAATTTTTTAATAATGCATAAATTATATATATACTTATCTGCCATAAGACGAAAATCCAAAGCTAGGGTCTATAGCTAAATACTGTTTAATAAAAACGAGAAAGAACGGCTATCTTTGGCACGCCGATGATTTAATACCCTTGCAGACCCAACCTCTTCATAATGTCCATAGCGGTTTGCCCGTCTCTGAGAAGCACAGGGAAAATTGTTAATGGCGAGTATGGTTAAGATATCTTGAAAAACAAAAAGTTTTCCATGCAAAAACCTACTTTTCGACCGACCGTTCCTATGGTAGCTATATGATATAGTAGTCCGATGTAAATAAGATTTTGCATAAGTGTAGGGAACATAGTGAAACTTATAAATGGCAAGTTTGATCAAGGTATCTTGAAAAACAAAAAAGTTTTCCATACAACAACTTAATTTTCGACCGATCGTTCCTATGGTAGCTATATGATATAGTAGTCGGTTGTTGATAGGATTTCGCAAAAATATTAGGAGCTTAGTAATACTAATTAATGGGGAGTTTGGTCAAGATATCTTAATAAACAAAAAAGTTTTTAATACAAGAACCTATTTTTTGACGGATCGATCATATGGTAGCTATATGACATAGTGGTCCAATCCAGCCGGTTCCGACATACTGCGTGCAACAGCAAGAGGGACTTCTGCAAAGTTTTATAAAGATAAAAACTTTAAAACTGAGAGACTAGTTCGCATAGATACAGACAGACGGATAGACTGACAGATGGACATGGCTATATCGACTCGGCTGTTGATACTAATCAAGAAGATATATACTTTATGGGGTCGGAGATGTCTCCTTTATGCGTTGCACATTTCACGACAAAATTATAATACCCTCTGCAAGGGTATAAAAATACTAGCGGGTATTCCCCGGCCCTGTCTGTAACAAATTTTGTGCCTAAAGTTAAGTTCCCGCCTGTGGAAAATTAAAATCTACTTTCTAAAACTACAATCCTGTTGGCAAAAGTTGGAAAAATAAGCTTTAGTTAATTAAACCTAATAAAACTCGCCGTTGTTATAGCTCGTTGTTGGGCTTCCTCAACTTTCCTTTAAGGCTAGGGACTATTATGCTGTCAATAGTGTCCAGTGAAATTTGGGTATACAGCACGCCCCGAACCCTCATATTGTCATAGATTTTATCAGGTATCTAAGTATTGAACATACCGCACATTTGCTATATGTCATCAAGGGTATTAATCTTCAGTACACAGTTTCTTTTATTCAGCCACTCTAAAGGTTGTAGCTAAGTGTTATTGATTCGCCCTAGTCTGTTGCCTTATCATCCATCGCATTAGTTGACTCCACACTAAGCATACCTATCAAAGAAATTAATTCATTCAGTTAAAATGTGGCCAGCTCGTCGCACTTGGCGTCAGAAATTCGCTCGGTTAAATCTTTGGGCCACTCTTTACGCCTCTTGGGCACTCGGACTGTTCCCATTCATCTATAATTCCAGCACGAAGAAACTGCGACGATCCATGCGGCTGGTTGGATATGGCATCATTTTGAATCTTGGGTCTCTTTGGATTACGCTCAACTATCGTGAACACACCGGAACCACAGCCATAATAGAGGTTTTTCATCGAAATCCTTTGGCAGAACAAATCAGCTATCTACAAAACATTTTACTTTTGACAACCGTCTTTGTAATGCACTTTCGGAACTGTTGGCTATGCGAGGAGCTTGCCAACACGCTTAATACTCTGACAGATCTATATCAACGTCACCTTGTACAATATGACTTTAACGATTGTCACAGCTTTGATAATTATGTTATATATAAAAGCCTATCAATTTGGCTGGAATTTATTTCAATGTTAATCATCAGATTTGGACTGTCGCCTCCAACTAACTTCAAAAACTTTTTGGGTCTTGTTGGTGTTATAGCAATTGAACTCGGCATACTTCTAATTGGAATGCATTTTCACCTGGCCGTGTTATACATATATCGCTCTGTTCGGATCGTCAATCGGGAACTTCTTACGCTAGCAAATCAGCTAAGGATGCGCCACACAAGGAGATCCTACCGTGTTCAAGAACTGCATTATCTTTATAGTCGCCTCTTAGACCTAAGCATCCGACTAACTGCCATCTACGACTACCAAATGAGTCTATTAATGATATCCTTACTAAGTGCTAATATATTATCCATATTCTATATGATAGTCTACAGTATTAGTTTAAATAAAATCTTGTCGTTTGTTTTGGCGATAAACTTGATTCAGGCGCTTGCCATTAATTTTATGGATTTCTGGTTGAGTATTGCGGTCTGCGACTTGGCAGAGCGAGCAGGTCGAGGAACCTCAGCTATTTTAAAGCTATTTAATGATATAGAACTAGATGTTGATCTAGAACGAAGTGTAAGTAGATGTTTTTTTATGTGTTTAATCTAATGTAAACTTTAACTGAGGTTATTTTCTTTCAGATCAACGACTTTGCCCTATTTTGCTGTCATAGACGTCTAAGATTTAACCATTGCGGCTTTTTCTATGTTCATAACGCAATGGGATTTCGAATGATTGTAGCTTGTGTATTGTATTTAATCTACTTGGTTCAGTTCGATTATATGAATTTGTAACACGACCCATTGGCTTATTGTCAATTATCATCAAAAGAAGCATTCGCCTGTTTGATAGGTCCTTGGGTCCTGTCTGTAACCAAGGTCATCAGAGCTTAGTTCGGATGACCCAAGGAAGTTGATGTGATCTCCAACCTTTGTAAGGCAGAGACCAGCCACCTTGCGTGCTACCTTGACACGGACTATTCTTAGACGATGAAGCTGGTATGCCGATGCCATGCATTTCATTAGCAACTAACTACATAGACTCTGCGCGGAAGTGATACAGACGGACTTGGTACAGTTTATTTCCACCTGCCAGTCCGTCTACTAGCTTTTGACCAGCAGCAGTGAGTACTGCACAACATCCGTTGCGGCCTGTTGGAATTGATGATATTCCATCCCAGCAAGGTGATCCGCTTATGTGGCCCTCAGCAGTCTCGGCTGCCTGTGGTATTATTTCATCAAGCGGTAGAGCTGTCGGCCGCTTATAGGGTGCCAAGCCGAGCTCATTGCCTTGCGGAGCCTCTGCTGTGACGCCTTGAAAATCCGAGTTTCGCTGTTTAACGTTCGTATTAAACATACCTCTCGAGTGCTGAAATATTGCACTGGGAGTTATTTGCTTTTGGGCTGAGTGAGGGCTTCATAAATCTCAGGGTGTGTAGAGTGGCTTACGGAGCTGCTTCTTTGATTTCTACTGTGATGTAGTCGACAAAGCTCTCCAGATCAGTTGCGTACCAAAGTGCTCGCCAGACAGGTCGGGTAGGTGTGACGGTTTGACCTAGTTGGCACTTCTCTAGTTTAATCAGCAGCGGAAGGTGGTCCGAAGTCAGGAACAGCAAGCTTTTTGTCCTCAGCTTCTCCTGTTTGAATCCATTCTAAATCCCAAAGTCGAGCGTATTCAGATATGCATTTGGCCCACAGAGTGCTTTTCATATCGCATATTTCCTATATGTCGACAAGGGTAGGCTCGTTTGTTTGTTTCTGGCTGGAGTGAATTGGAAATATTGTAGTTAAGTGTTATTGATTCGCCGTACTCAGTTTCCTTATCATTCATCGCATTAGTTGGCTACACTCAACATACCTATCCGAAAATTAATTCATTCGGTTAAAATGTGGCCAGCTCGTCGCACTTGGCGTCAGAAATTCGCTCGGTTAAATCTTTGGGCCACTCTCTACGCCTCTTGGGCACTCGGCCTGTTCCCATTCATCTATAATTCCAGCACGAAGAAACTGCGACGGTCCACGTGGCTGGTCGGATATGGCATCATTTTGAATCTTGGGTTTGTTTGGGTTACGCTCAACTATTACACAGAAATAGAAACCACAACCCTGATTGAGATTTTCCATCGTAATCCTTTGGCAGGACAAATCAGCTATCTGCAAAACATTTTACTTTTGACAACCGTCTTTGTAATGCACTTTCGGAACTGTTGGCTATGCAAGGAGCTTGCCAACACGCTTAATACTCTGACAGATCTATACCAACGTCACCTTATAAAATATGACTTTAACGATTGTCTCAGCTTTGACAATTATATTATATATAAAGGCTTATCAATTTGGTTGGAAGTTGCTTCAATGTTAATCATGCGATATGGCCTGTCGCCTTCAATCAGCTTTAAACTCTTTGTGGGTCTTTCCGGTGTCATTGCAGTTCAGATAAGCATACTTCTTATTGGAATGCATTTTCACCTGGCCGTGTTATACATATACCGCTCTGTTTGGATCGTCAATCGGGAACTTCTAACGCTAGCAAATCAGCTAAGGATGCGCCAATCAAGGAGATCCTCTCGTATTCATGAATTGCATTGTCTTTATAGTCGCCTCTTGGGGCTTAGCACCCGACTGGGTGCTATCTACGACTACCAAATGACACTTTTCATGATATCCCTACTAAGTGTCAATATATTATCCATATTCTATATGATAGTCTACAGTATTAGTTTAAAGAAAATATTGTCGTTCCTGTTGGTAATCAACTTTATTCAGGCGCTATCCATTAACTTGATGGATTTCTGGTTGAGTATTGCGGTCTGCGACTTAGCAGAGCGGGCAGGTCGAGGAACCTCAGCAATTTTAAAGCTATTTAATGATATACCCGAACTAGATGTTGATCTAGACCGAAGTGTAAGTATTTACTTTTTTGAAGTATACTTTGACTGAGATTCTTTTCTTTCAGATCAATGACTTTGCCTTATTTTGCTGTCATAGACGTCTAAGATTTAACCATTGCGGCTTGTTCTATGTTCATAACGCAATGGGATTTCGAATGATTGTAGCTTGTGTATTGTATTTAATCTACTTGGTTCAGTTCGATTATATGAATTTGTAACACGGCCGATTTGTATTATTGTTAATTATTAGGATTGAGCTACAGTGTAGGAGAATTATACGAGGTTATACTCTATACAGAATTCGAACACTAGGAAAATAAACTGAATTTTACTCAGATCCCTAAGGTTTAAGAAATTAACTGTGTGCGTTGATAGATTTGGCTAGAAGTCAGCATCTACTGCTAAAGTGTACAGGCTCGTGCAGAAGCTAGACTGCAAACAGACAAAGGAAACTCAAGAATATCAGGTAAACTTTCCAGGCTTCCCTTATCTAACCCTATGAACTATGAGCCCTAACGTGCTGCAAAACAGCCAAGAGGTCAGGGTATCCCCTAGTCGGGGATCAAAAAATTATTAAATCCCTGCTACGCCTAAGGCGTTGTTTATGGGTAAGTAGCTCTAAGACTGTAATCCCAGCTGTTACTGTGACTAGGAAATAGGGATTTTTATGATATATGAAAGCAAGAGTGGGCGTAAAAATTACAAAATTAATTCGAAAAATTGCTTATTAGCTATTCTTTGAAATTCCTAGAAATTTCTTCAGTTGAAGCGAGAAATCAATAACTAGACGGCGCTGTCTTTGCCTGGCGAATGCGACGCCAACACCAAGAGCTGTCCGTGTTGCCTGACATTGTCAACATGTTGCCTGACAATGTCAACATGTTGCTTACACCAGGCAACATTTATAGCGCTCTCTTATCGTTCAGCGTGCCACGCCATTCTCAGATAAACTTCAGGAAAGCTTTGGCAACTATTAACTGCATGCTCCACTGTCATTTGTAGATTCTGGTTGCCAAAATGTTGTATTGCGACTTTGTGGAGCCAGACAGTCGCAATTGCGCCATGTGTGGGGAAGGTCAAAAGCGTTGCCAATTATAAGTATATTATACTATAGGGTTCTACCCCGGCCTTGCCCGTGGTACATACAAAATACATAAGCAAAGAGCCAAACCTCCAAACCTCGGTTTGGAAATTTCGACTCATGTCTATATAGGATATTTGGGGGTACCATTTTTACATGAATTTCGACTAAGAATAATGTTCCCAGACTTAGATGCATAATTGATCTAAGGGTCAAACCATGAACAAAAACCCAAACTTTATGAAAATTGGTTGAGTTTTAACCGAGTTATGGGGTTGGAAAATTTTAACCTAAGCCTATATAGCATATTTGAGGGTACATGTTTACATGAATCTCGACCAAGAATCATGTTGCCAGATTTAGATGCAAAATTGATTTAGAGGTCAAACCATAACCAAAAAGCCAAACTTTATGAAAATTGGTTGAGTTTTAACCGAGTTATGGGGTTGGGAAATTTTGACCTATGTCTATATAGCATATTTGAGAGTAAATTTGTACATGAATTTCGACCAAGAATCATGTTGCCAGATTTAGATGCAAAATTGATCTAGATGCCAAACCATGAACAGAAAGCCAAACGTTTTGAAAATTGGTTGAGTTTTAACCGAATTATGGGGTTGGAAAATTTTGACCTAAGCCTATATAGCATTTTTGAGGGTACATTTTTACATGAATTTCGACCAAGAATCATGTTGCCAGATTTAGATGCAAAATTGATTTAGAGGTCAAACCATGAACAAAAACCCAAACTTTATGAAAATTGGTTGAGTTTTAACCGATTTATGGGGGTGGGAAATTTTGATCTACGTTTATATAGGATATTTGAGGTCAATTTTTACATAAATTTCGACTAAGAATCATGTTGCTAGATTTAGATGCAAAATTGATATAGAGGACAAACCATAAACAAAAAGCCAAACTTTATAAAAATTGGTTGAGTTTTGACCGAGTTATGTGTGTGTGTGAATGTGTGTGTATGTGTGTATGTGCGTATATATGTACATATGTATGAATGCATGTAATTTGTCTTGTGAAATACCAATAGCAATTTGTCTTGTTGCGCGGCAAATTTAAATAAGAAAGCGTATTTATTAAAGCTGCCCTCCTCCTCGATTCTCAAAAATTTAAGTAAGGCTTGCAGGCATCACCTATAAATTTGGCGCAGTCGGTTTCAACGCTGGAAGCTGAGGAGCCGGAGGAGCACCAAGGGGGCGTAGCAGGAGGTATGTAGGCATGTAGGTATGTAGGTATGCAGGTATGTAGGTATGTAGGTATGTATGTAGGTATGTATGTAGGTATGTAGGTATGTAGGTATGTAGGTATGTAGGTATGTAGGTATGTATGTATGTATGTATGTATGTATGTATGTATGTATGTATGTATGTATGTATGTATGTATGTATGTATGTATGTATGTATGTATGTATGTATGTATGTATGTATGTATGTATGTATGTATGTATGTATGTAGGTATGTAGGTATGTAGGTATGTAGGTAGGAATCCAACCAACAAAATGCAGCAATATCAGCAACACTCGAGGTCATGACTAAGTTTGACCACTAGGATGATGGAACCAACAAATAAGCCAAATTGAGTTACGGATAATACATATATTAAACAAGAATGAACTGGAGGTTTTCGTCATCCTCACAACATTGAAGGCATGCTGGTTTGTGAGACGCACTGCTGCTCTAGTTTGTGCTTAGGACTGCCAGGATACGACAACCACCTTACAAATCTCTGGATCGAGTGCGTGACGAAGCAAATAAACGCTGCAACAGCACCTGACGACGACCATCAATTGGTCACGCGCTCAGTGTTTTTGTCGTAAAAGTCACCAGCGAACGAGGTGAAACAACGCTAGCGGATGGCTCCAATCCTCCGCGATTTGTGTGGACAGTGGGAGACTCAAAATACCTCTGTGACGTGCTTGGTCCCAAGATGATGATTGGAATACGCTACATCGTCTCTGCCTTGGTATCCCTCTGGGGAAAGCGCGTCTTCCGCTGCGCAAAAAAATATCCCTAGAACTCTTGAAGTCTAGATTGACTCGGTGGTTTCTACTCTCAGTTTGTGAATTCAGCGAAGCAATGCAAAAAACAAAACTGTTATTTTCTTGTATCATATTTGCAAAAGGTACAGGGTATGCTGATCCCGCATCGAGTTTTCGGCACATATAATTTTCAATGACACCCAATTTCTAAATTAGGCAAATATTAAATAGCTTCCGGAATATAACGTTTTTCGCAAATTGACTCAGGGCAATAGATTTTTAAGCGGCTTTACATTTAAATTGCCGATTTACGCGTCAGCATCGGTATCGCAGCTCCTTGAGCTGCCAAAAACGCTGAACTATAAAGATTAGCAAAATGCTGACTTAGGCGAAACGCGACAGAAAATTCAGAGACCACAAAAAAAGCAGCATCATTTTACTTAAACCTGAAGAGACCATAAAATACGCTCCGCCAGCGGAAAATGTTGTCATACTTATATTCAAACGTAGCCGCAACATCAAATGGCCTTCTTCCATAACTCTCACTTTTTCAGCCCACAACTCCACACAGTTGGACAAAACATTGAGTTGGTGACTCTAGTCAAGCGACCTTCAACCACGATAAGACTGATAAAAAGAGTGAGATTTCTAGCGGAAAAATACTCTAGCTTAGGCCCTACCTTCTTGTACACTGACCTATAAAATAAATTCATTAATTCGGCTCCTTCCTCATTTTACTCGATTTACACATTCATGAAAGCAGGTATTTATTGTATTATTGTATATTCCAAGTGTTATCAATAATAAGGGAATTCTGATAATTCACCATTTATATTCAACTTTTAGGGCTTGCAAGGGTATCGAAAAATGTATTAACAGACATGGTCGGGTTGTAAGCATTCATTAAACATTTGAAACTTATTGCTTCCATTAGTCATTTTTATGTCTTGCAAGACACCTAAACCATTTAATTAATCACATTTAAGCAGACTTAATTCCTAATGCACACACATATACCGGCCCAGCGGGAGTTGAGCTTAGACATGAAAGGAAATCACATTAAATAATCCGTTCAAACCTTACGTTGTCACCAGTCTACGTGACCTAATCTTGGTGCATTCGTCTACTCGGATCCGGATCAGGCGCTTGAATGAATTAGACCGCTCATAGATCTCCCCCACAGGCATTGGCATTAGCAACTACAACGACGACATTAAGCACCACATATAGTTCATCAAAACAGACAAGCCTCAGCTGAATGAAGGAGACCAACACCAGGCACACCAGCGGGCCAGAAATTCCACAGCAGGACAACAACTGCACCGTCAGCTCCGGGAGCCCTCACTGCCGGGAAGCATTCATCAGTATTTACGTCACGCAGCGCCAAAGGGCTGAGGATGAAGCTAAATCTGCTGGCTGGGGACTGCGAACAGCCTGTTGTGGATGTATGTTGACATTTCAATGACAGTTGCGAAAATTGTGAAAATTAGTTCGGCTGCCATTTTCCGTTGCGGTTTCCACTTTCAACTTGCGCGCAGCTTTTGTAAAATTATGCAATTTGATTATCGCGGACAGATTGTCGTGGGTGACTTAAATGCATGTCCTGCTCTCGGCTTTCCGGCACTTTGCTGTCGCGTCCACCCGACGGTGCAATGCTCTGTTCGCAGTGTAATTACCTATCGAAACCAGCCGAAACGCGCCTTCCTGTCTCCTGTAACTTGTACTCTAGAAAATACTCTAGGGAGCCCCACCCACCACCCTCTAACTTTAAAGGACATCAATCATAGCTTATCTTTTTGAGGCTATTCCCTGTTTCAACAGTGACGAACCAAATTCGTTTCATACGAACAGAAAGACGAACGGTTAGCAAGTACAACATACCACGTCACCAATATACTCACTTTCACACTGTGAGCAGAGTATATAAAGGGCATATTGGCTGTGTATGTGAACCATATTTTGATACAGACTTGATATAACCTTCATAAGCCACACTGAACTAGGAAAGCATCGGTTGGGAATCAAATCTTTGGAGGGAAGGAGCCGTTTGTGTAAATATATCGCAAGTCTTACATCTTCTATGAGAAGACGAAACATTAAAGAAAAAAAAATTTATTCACTTGCGAATTAAGTTAGTTTAAGCGTTAAAGCTGAATGGCGGGCTCGATATGAGGTAACTTCACGTTGTCGCTGCAAGGCTGCCCCAAAATATCCTCCAGCATGCGATTCAAGGACTCTGAGCCCAGCGTATAGTCCGCCTTGTCCGCGGCGCCAATCAATAGCGTTTGGTTTTCCAAGCCATTATCGTCGCTACTAAGAATATTTTGTAATGCCGCACTAATCTGTTCAGATCCCATTATGTAAGGCTTTTCCAGTTCAGCTTGAACCGCCGATGATTCCATACCACCTGCCATGGGAGGAGACCTGTGCTCTTCATTGGCTATCTTCCAAACGCGCATCGATTGTGTGCCCAACAGCAGGCCAGCACAAACGCTTATTAGCCACTCGATAATCGGCTTCATTGTTCCAAAATTTAAAATTAAAACATAAAGTTTTTGTATATTGTATTATTTCCTTTTATCTGTATGTAGCCTACTTATAAAGATCAATTTACATATTTATATACCCTGTAGAAATGGGAAAAGGCAAAAAAAGGTATAAGGATTGTACGTCGGACCCCGTAAAGTATATAAACTCTTGACGACATTTATATGTAGCAATAATGCTCTAGACCATTGAGTAATAAACAGACAGAGATGAAATGTCACTCTGAGCTTTTTTTACCGTTTTAAATTTCATGAGCGATGGATCGGATTTGTCCGCAAACGCAATCAAACACAAAGAAAAAAGTTTTTTACCATAGGAAGCAACAACAAATCAGCTGCAAAGCAACAACAGTGCGCATGAAATGCCATTTTGTTTTCGTCGTCCGTCTTGATCACCAAGATGCTTGTGAGCGATAACGAGGACATAGGAAGCTCAGTGCAAAGAAAAGGGACAAATAATGCCACTGTTGCGGGTAGAAACAACAACAGCATAATTTGGGTACTAAATTGTTGTTGCAGAACCGAGTACCGGCGCAATTAGGTAGAAGATTTGAATGCCAACAGGCCATGGCAATAAAATCACTTCCCTTGACTTGGCAGACAGAGTTGAGACACACATGCCAACAACTATTTGGCGCGTCGATGCTTTGATACCCTTGTTTTTTAGAAATGGTATATTATGTTTAAAGAAAACCATTATTATTGATTGTACTAATAGTTGCATACTAAATACAAAATAATATATTTTTAGAAAACACAAATAGCCTTGGAGACATTTCGCTTTACGCCTAATACTTCGCACATATGTATTGGGTGAAGTAAAATATACCTCTAAAAGGGTATTAGCACACCATTAAATGAATTTCATCCCAGTTTCGAATAAGGAACAGCATCTTTAGTGGCTCTACTATTGAATTTGTAAGTATACCACACATACCTTCATGGTTAATTTTTACTATAAAACAGAAAAATTTGTAAGGAGTGCATACTTTTTGGATGAACTTTAAAACTACTGCAGTAAGAACAAGGGAGGAAATCAGTTTGTTTTTATTTAACTCATTTATTTATCTATATTTATAACCTTATGAGAAAACCCGACAACAAGATCGTCTTCGCAGTGTAGATCGTCCAAATCGGAATTAGAATGTGAATATTTTTTGTCGTTCTGGTTATTCATTTTAGAGCTCTTTTGGTAGTATTATCGTTCTTAATATTACTAGGTTGCCGGACAATTTTAGCAAGCTGATACGATATCTCAATATTTCGTATCGATATTTATTCGCAGGCAAATATTTTGCTACAATTGGACTTAAAGTTTTTTCATTTTAAATTTAAATAAATATATATTCGTGAAGATTGTAGCGCTACGCCCACTTTTAGACCCGGAAAATGTATATAAAGTAAAACCCGTATCGACTTCGCACAGACAATATACATGTGATATTTAAATTTTCTGCTTTAAGTTTTAAAAAATTTTATTGTTGTAATAGGTAACATATTTATGGGAACATTTTCTCATAACAAATTTTCAATTTTCTTGTTGAACAAAAAATTGCTTTTTTATTTGCTCCTGGTCGGATTCCAAATTAACGACATACACATAAATTAATATTTCCTTCATTTTTATAAGTATTATTTATTACAAAATTGTTTTTTTATTGTTAAATCAATTCTTATTATTCTATGATAACTACTTTAAAAGAAACGGAAATCATAAAACAATTGATAATTTTAAAATGCTATCGGCAACCAACCCATCTTCTGCTTATTTCAATTTTGTTTTTTGCATATCTTAAAACGAGTTGGCAGGGTAATGTGGAATATGCTGGTTTGCTAGAAAAAATTATAGGGTGCAGTTTATTTATTGTTATTTTGCAGCCTGGGAGTAAAGTAAATAGAAAACCAGGTAAATGAGGCTAAGACAAAAGTATGAAATTTGCAAAAAACCAGTTTTTGTTACCCCTCGCTTACAGATTTGAAAGAAAACGGTCTCAAACGCAGGTACTACATTTGGTTGCGTCGCGTAGCAATACGTTTCGTCGCTGCGAGCGCAGCTATAAAAGCATCGTCATTCTGGTGGTTTCTAGCATTTCCCTTTGAAAAGTCGTGCTGGATGGACGTGTGTTTTTAAACGTTCTGTGTCTGGAAAGTTGTGTAACCAGATAGTGATTTAGCGCGCTGGTTAACTATTCAGCAGCAAAAGAGGTGTGTTTGTGTGTGTGTGTATTAAAAGAAAATTTTTGTAAAGCGTTGTACAAAATGGTTGCATATTATGATGATTCAGATGGTGTTGAGCAGCCCAAAACGTTAACATATTGGGTGCGAAATTTTCGCATGAAGCGCTTGCAAATGCGTCGCAAGCTGCGGGGCGCTGGAAGCCTGCGCGTTAACGCCATTTTGTCAACGGCGCTTTTCCACGCTGAGCATGAACTGCGCAGGAAACAGCAAGAACGATTCAGTCGTTGGCTCGACGTCCAAACGAAATTAATTCCACACGGCAATACGCACGAAAGCAACTTCGACGAAAAATTTCATCATGCCTGTGACGTCAATGTGGAGAAAGAGACGGCCGAATTCGAACGACGCAATATTGAAAATAGTTTGTGGAGAAGCGAGCTAAGTGGCCTCGACAGATTTTTGAACAGTTTAAGCAGCAGCAGCAGTAAAAACAACAATAACATAAGCAAGTGCGCCATTGCTGTGAGCAGTTAGTTAAAAAGAGACAAACCTATAGCACTTGGGTATTGGAGAAGTGTGTTTAAGCTAAAAATGTCATGAACAACTTGTTTTTCATTTCTTTGATTTGAATCTTTGTTAAATTAGTTTTATTACGAAAGAAATTTCTCATTTGCAGTCGCAAAACGTGTGCAAACCTGTTATACATACATAGATTGTAAAGAAAAATGTGAAGGCTGTGAAGAGTGTGATATGAAGAGGATGAGCAAATGGCCTTCGTAAGCGAGTGGTGTGAGTCATGGGAGACTGCTGTATATCAACGCTCACCAGAAAGAAGCCTTTGGTCCGGAATGCACACTCGGTTTGTAAATTTATCCTATCAATTAGTTGTAACTTAGTTAATATTTTCTTTCTGGAAGTAGCTAAAATTTCCTAGTAAGCAAAAATAATTTTAAATGGCTGCTAGCTGAGGGTTGCATCGCACAAAGGCACGTATACCTGCATATGTATGTATATAAACGACGCCATTTTGGTTTGTGTGTATACATAAATGCTTGTGTGCATGCATGTGCGTAGGTATACTGACAAGGCTATTGCTTTACGGAAAAGACGCAGTCGCGTGTACATACATACGTATACATATATTCATATTGTATATATGCATGTATGTGCATGCCTTTGTTCTCTTTTCTGTACATCAGTAAACCTTGTATAAATTTGTCTGCTATTTTTACGTATGAAAAACAGTGCGTCCGCTTTTATGATTCATATTGAATCGAAAAATAGTTAAAAGAAATTTTGAGGTTAAACTTTCACACGTACTGCCATGATTAGCATGTTGCGAAAAACTGTATATAGAAAAACTACTTGGAACTGATTAATATATGTATGTAACATAAATAAAACTATACTTGATGTAATTTTGAAATCAGTGTTGCCTTTATTATTTGCACTTATAAATCTCTTTGTCGTAAACATATTCCTCTATAATAGATTTTGTTTTACAGTTTTCCTGCTCCTCGAAACGTTAATGGCAACGATGAGGAGGAACGGAACACTTAACAAACAACCGCATCAAGAACGAAATCGAACTGACACACAAATCAATCGATGGGCAAATCGGTACCTACATCGCGTCAGTCAATAATCGTTTCAAAGAATTTCGTTTCTATAACTGAGTGAGTCTTCACGTCTGTCCGTCTTCCGTCAACCACAATGGCAGCGACTTGCAAGCCAGCCGATCCTACACAGTTCGCAGCGGCAGCAGCAGCAGCAGCAAACACCACCGAGTCTCCCTTGCCCAAAATGCCAGATGCAGCTGACAAGTAAAATGGGGACAAGGCGGAATTGCGCGCGGCAGCAGCAGCAGCAGCTTTAGCTCAACAGCAAACACGTGTGTGCCTTATGCCTCCTGGTCGGTTACCATCACAACTATCACTACCTACTCTACATAACGCGGTCAGCAGTTGCTGACGGCATCCACCACCAACCCACACAGATATCTCTGCATACACGCGGTATTCGTATATCAGCTGCGAACGCAAAAACAATTACTTTTTAAAACAGATTTACAGCAACAAGGAGCGAAAGAAAGCATCAACGTCATCATTGGAATTTCTCTTAAATTACACAGTTATCTTGAAGGTCTGTCATCATCGTCAACGTCTTCACTTTGGGTTCGTCGTATTTTCATCTGTGTCCTTCGCTTTATTCTGGTGGCACGTAAGCCGTATCGAATTTTTCTCCCTGAATAACTCTTGAATTACAGTCATAATTACAAAGCAGTCGGTTCTTGCACAAATCTACAGATTGATAGAGGAGTCATAATCGAGCACACTTGCATTTTATGAGTCTATGCGTCGCTCATTATAGGAAGAAGTTTGAAATTTTATCTCAAAATTGTTACGCATAAATACGTGGGCTTCAATTTTTTTTGTAGCGATGCGTCACAGTTGAACAGTGCCTGTGAGCATCGGATTTCATCAGCGGGACCTCGCATCCTTTCTAGGCTTTGCATTCATGGGGTGTCGAAAGTGGAAGATCAACCACAGAGTGTCTACCGTTTAACGCAAGCAATATGGATGCACCCAAACCTTATCTCTTGTCTAGGAAAAAGACTATTTTTCGTTTACTATATTTTTAGAAAAACGGCGCAGTTGAACGGTGCCTGCGTTCGTCTGTAAGGAAGTTATCAAGAAAATATGTCAATGAGATATCGCAACCATCAACTTTTCCTATCAAATCATTACAATTTTAGTGGGCTGCTCATGTCAGTACGCCAGGAACACAAGTCGAGATAATCAAATGGCAAAGCGTAACTCGTTTGTTATTCTTAACATGCACAAAATGTCGCGTCTGTTTCTCTTTTAGAAAATTGAGCCCATGATATAGATGCACAATCACAAACGATAAACAATGTCTGTTGAAAAAGAGCTGAAACCATGAAACTATCACAGTCTTGCCGGATCGGATAGCGTAACTTTTACATTTAGTACTCTTATAATTTGGCTCTTGTAGCCAACAAAACTATGATCGTACACTTGTTTATGATTTCCAGCCATGGACTGGCTGCAAAGCCTATATCTAACGAGAGCGAGGTGGATATGTTATCCTGCACGTAATGTTCGGAGGATCCTGTTCAGAACTATATCAGAAAATGAAACGAGAAAAGCGTAAATTTTGAGCCTATCCACACAAAAACATATCTTTTTGTATTTTATAGCAATATGACGCAGTTGAACTGTGCCTGCGCATATTGGAATTAGAGTTAATCCCATAAATTGGGCTATACTTGTAAGAGTTCAGCGAGGAAGCGTCATCTTAAAGGATTTTCACGTAAACTATTCGAATTTCCCTGTGCACAAATCTTCCTTTTTCGTATCTTGTAGCTATATAGCCGCAGTTGAATGTGCCTGCGCATATCTGTCGGTAGCTGCTTCCCAATGATAAAAGGGCAAAGGGACCGTTTCGGCGAAGAAATCAAGATTTGGTTCTTTACCAGTGGAAACCAACCCTACAATCGTCATCTGCAAAAATGGATTTGTTACTTTTACATTTTCTTCCCCTAGCTTATTTTCTAAGCATGTTATGTATTAATTGCAGTGGCGTTTTTGGTTGATGTTCGGATGTTCAGAAAACACACATTAACTCGAATGAATACCTGTAGCAAAATTTCTTGAGGCAATGGGAATCAAATGCCAACTTGAAAGCAATAACACATCACAACATCTATGTCGATAAACCAAACCGAACTGTCAAGGTCAGCCCGACACTGAATACATCTTGAATTGCTTAAACCTGTTTTACAGCCATATGAAAAGACGATACTGAGTACTCGAATATAATACCTTCATAAAGGCAGCAGCACTTAACATCTTTTTTAGAACGAGGATAATAGGCCTGCCCCCACTTCTGTCACACCGGATTCAAGTTAAAGCGTGAGACATTTGTGTTCGCTTATCATTTTGCTTTGCACTTTCACTTTTGCAGCGATGCATTGCTTGTGCGCATAGACTTTTTACTGCAATTTGTATTTTTGGGACCGGTCTGGAGGCGGCCGATGTACACAAACCTTTTCTCCATCTCCAAACTACTAGCGTTCACACTGCAAAATCGTTAAAGGGAATCAAGAACGATACATCAAGTTCATCCAGCTAGGCAAATCGTCAAGCAATGCCAGCACCAACAACACCACCACCACAACAACAAAATATGTTACAGCTGCCTTGATGGCCAGAAAGTCGCAGATCTCTAAACATAGATCGCCCGTACAACGTACAGTGTACAATTAACGTTTTTACATTACAGAAAACGTAAGCTGCAAAAAAATGGCTGCGCTGAGTGGTTGGCGCACTCGCGCCACACAGACAGCTCCGGCACTCACAACCACTTGAGCGGAGCCAGACTCTGTTCTCTCTCCGCCGAGGAGGCATCACAGCCTGGTTCGGCCAGGCCAGCCCGGGTCAGCTCAGCCAGCAAGTAATGCATTGCACCGCATAGAAATATGCGCTCGGTCCGCGCTAAAGGGAAACAAATGCGTTTGGACCGAGACCCCCGCCACACCACTCAAACACCAGCAGTCGCTCGAGAGGCGAGCTGATGTGTTGTCGTTGTTATTGGGCAGCTGCCTGCAAGTACGCTCATGTCATCGTCAGCATCGCCGCCGTCGCCGCCGCAAGTTCCTCGAATCCATCCAGCATTTTGTGTGTGTGCACATGTATGTATTGTAGTATGTAGTAGAAGCAGCTGAGCAGGCTATAACGACCCGACCTATGGAGATCGTGGCTTATCGCAAAAGGGAATCAAATGCGACTAGTATTCAAGCATCAGAACGAAGAGCTGTGCAGCAACAGCAGCAGCAGTCGAGGCAGACGGCGGCTTTCAATGGGCAGTGAAGACGGCGGTGGTATTCGAAATCAACTGGTTTTATAATCTGTTGCAAATTATCCGCTCATTCTCACTCACTTCTTAGGTAGCACATGATTTTTAACAGAAACTCACTCCGGTAATCAAAATCCATCGCAAAGGGAATCAAATGCGATTAGTGTTCGATGACGAAGAAGCTAGCTAGTCAGACCAGCTCTACGCTACGCTTCGATCTGCCAGTTGAGCGCTTAACTCCTGGTGCACCGTTCAACATTCCGCAAAAGGGAATCAATTGCGAGGTGGTACTGCAGCAACGCACGCACACACACGCACACAGACACCCACACCTACACGCACTCATGCACACATGCGGAATTTCCTCTTATGTGGCAGTCCAACACGTCCTTGGCCCAAAAAGCATCGAAATCGTAAGACGATTAAGAGCAGCAGAAAGCAGGCAGGCGGCAGGCAGGGAAACGATGCCCGCAGCGAAAGAGATTTACTTGTCGTCGTCATCATTGTTCATGTTCTTGTTGTTAGTGGTGTGTATACATTTTTTCAGGTAAATTCCAACCCAGCCGACTAGGACAGTTGTCTGTCGGTCTGCCAACAGCACGTACACGTCAAGTTGTTCTCGAAGGGAATCCATGAGACACGCGCTACATCTGCATACGACATGTTACATGTTATTTTTCAATGTATTTTTTGTTTTGTCTAAGTTTATTATGTGCTTACATGAGCATACAATTAAGTATGTATCTTCTTATAGAGGCAATCCTCTAACTCCGGGCTGTTTGAACGAAACTCTTCTGGCCAAGAGCCGTAGTCTACCATGAATGAATGTTTATTGTACAGCCCATGTAAAGGTGCTATAACATGTTACTTTGTAAACAATTGTATAAGCCCGATCTTTGTATTGTAAGACGATTGTATTGTTATAATTGTAAAACTTTGACATGTACATATTTGTGTATGGCTTAAGAAACGAAGCAGGGACTCGTTCATTGAAGAATTCGACTGACGAGGACTCCCTGATTGATGTTCAACCCCTTAATATGAGAGTGAAGGAGCGACTTGAAAGAGGCTACTCCATTGCGCTCTTAAGGCGGGCCTGGCCATGACTTATGTATCCATCTCCAGGGGCTTTTGATGGTGCTGTACGAGCGGCGGATGGGACAATCAACCGTTCAAATTGGCTGGCAGAACTAGCTTCAACTGTGCGAACTCTTGATTACCTGGTCGTCGATTCGCCATCCACCGTTCCATGTGCTGAGATTGAATCTCTCGAGCTTGCTTCTTTTTCGACTCTGATGTCGCATCATCGCTTCAAAATTCCTAAAACCTTAAAATCAGCAATTTTCTGTTGTAAGAGGCGGAGCTGCAGACTAAAACCATCCGTTACGGCATCGACGCTTCATTCCAAGAAAGAGATCTGCACTTGAGCTGGAGGTCTTCGTGTTCGTAACGCCACATCTTAGCACGTCCTGTCGATTTAACACCTATAATTGTTGGGAACATTTCATCTACTATGTCACTGCATCCAGTCCGAGGCTAATAGGCAGATCCACAGATTTGCCAGCTACAACTCTACTAATAATATTCAGAAAGCAAGCAACACATCATTCTCATCGACACGTACGCCCGCACAAATCATTTTTGGCTTCGTCCGCTGACTGGGACACACACGGGATAGTTTTTCATTCTCAGTTCGGACCACTTCAGCCCCAAAATACAACTTGAAAATCGAACTTCGCATCGACAACATAAACACATTCCCCAATATTAGGGCCCGCTGGCAGCTATAGGATCCTACTCAGATCGTTTTCTTCTTGTCTTCTGCTACTCGACCCACTGTAAGGCCAATGGTGAGGCCGTTCGTTTCTGACGTTTTCTGAAAGGACTTCGTTTCTGGCGATTAGGATTTTTTAAGGATTGCAAATATTTTTGAAAATTTCGGACAATTGGGCACAATTTGAATACGTTTACATACCGACGGCGGCGAGGGATAATAGTAAATATTGACAGCAGCGTGGGATACCCAAAAATGACTGCAGCGGGGGATATCAAATTGACAGAACAGCGTGGAATTCTCTTGTTTTCTTCGTGGGACTTATAGGGCTTCGGTTAGGAGATGTCGCTAGGTACAAGGCTTCTATTATTAGGACAACTGTGAAGGAGAGCCCATTCGCATAACGGATAACTTGATGTCAGGAGGAGAATCGCAATGACTGCGGCGTGGGATCATTGACTTTTGACTGCGGCGAGGGAGCATTGACTTTTGACTGCGGCGAGGGACATTATCGCTGACTGCGGCGAGGGAGTTCATTTGACTGCGGCGTGGGATTGCACATGACGGCGGCGCGGGAGCTCGATACGGCGGCGTGGGATCATTTGACTGCGGCGAGGGATCACTTGACTGCGGCGCGGGATTATTCGTCGTTTCATCGGTGTTGTTTTCTCTATGATCATCGTCGGTATTCCCATGAGGCATAAATTAAGCAAAATTCCTACGTTCAAAGCTGATATACCTACATTTTAAAAGCTATGTGCTGCAACCTAAACAAGCGTCATCCATATAGAACCGTATCGCTTTAGTTATTAATTAAACATCAATAACCCGCACCCTTGACCTAATAACCTCATGACTGGAGCCTATCATCATTCCAATCAAAATTTATTGTATATAAACGTTCCTGGAATACCGGAAAGTAATTTAACACACGATGATCCAGATAATGCCACAGATGCCTATAAACGGATTATCTGCAGAATAAAATTGATTTTTTGAAAAAAGAAATTCGACTCTTGTTATTCAAAGTGATGCTTTATTTTAAGTTGTGGCTATGTTTGATCCTACCAAAGCTTGAATAGTTTCCCGTAGGGATAGGTGCCGTTGGACGGTCCACCTCTGGCATAAGTATGATTCCCATGTGTCGTACCATTTGAAAACGGGCCGAATCCATATGTGCCGCTGGGTTGGAATTGACCAGAACCGACGAAGTTGTCGTGGAAGCCTATGTTCGGTTGTTGAGCTGTTCCCTGGTAATGGGCTCCAAACTGAGGGATGGTCTGCAAGGGCTGCACAACTCGCGTCTCATTGAATCTTGCGCCATGGGGTCGGGTACTATTAAATCCCGGCTGATAGTTGGTTGCCGGCTTCACATATGTCGAGTTGGAGCGTCGAAGATTCGTATGGAAATTTCGTGCAAAAGATCTAGTCTCAAGGTTAAGACATCCAAACAGCAGAGCTGCAGTAAAAGAGATTCGTGAGGTTTACGGATACATCAGATGCGAACAAGTATTGAGAAAAACAAGCTAACCCATGCTTAGAACCAGCTGATAAGATTTGAACATCTTGATAACAAATTTCGCGACTCCCGCTAGCTCGTGTGGTATACGTCTCGGAATTCTAAATGGAACTGAAGGCGGCGGTTGCGAACGGCAGCTGCAGCTTATCAGGCTTGGGCACTAATCATTTGTATACCCTGTACGCAAGAAGCGGGTAAGAATGAATTAATTGGAAAATATAACAATTTTGTACAAAATCTGATGTGTAGGGCAGACGAGGAAGCGGTTGAGGCATTTTGAAACGATTACCGACCCTTTTTCATCCCAAATTCAATTTTGACGAGGGCTTACAGGGTTTATCTTGAAAATGAATAACCGAATAGTAACTGTCACATCATATTACACTACCCCCAAGTTTTCGAAAGGTAGGATCATAAATGAAAAAATGAAATACATGATAAATGATTAATTGCTTATCGATTTCAAATACATTTTCAAAGATTGTTTTCAAAGGTCTTAGTGAAATATTAATGTAAACTGACTTAATACATTTTTTTTTGTTTTTTGAAAATCCAGGTTTGTAAGAATTTTTTTTGTTTTGGCTACAGGGTACTACATAGATGACTACTTTATTGAAAAAATTCTGTCAGATGTTTGTAAACATGTACAATATTTAAACAACAATTTTGCGCTTATCAATATCACAAGTGTTGTTCGCGAACATGTTTATTTTTTCTTAAGAATATAATTAAAGTCTTAAAGCAGATTTTAATAGTCTGCTGAGAAAGTGAAGAAGCGTATTTTGCTCTACAAAAGGTATTTCGTCTTGGAGGCATGATTAACCTAATCTTCGTAGAATATTTCGGCAACAAATACCGATAATTCACATAGTTTAGTCACAGTTTGGAAGTTCCTGCCACCCCATCCCATCCCAGTGCAGCTGTTACATTGTGAGCAGAGTATTGCACAGTCGATTGCATCCGACTGCAACTTCTTACATTACCTTATTGTACCATAAAATTACTAAGTAGTTATATGTACACTATGAGTAAGCCGCATTTCAGCCGCGTTGCATGGGAAACAGACCTTGGCAGCTGCCTCGTCGCACAATTCGAATATCTAGAATAATAATTGAGTCAGAAGCTATCCAGACTATTTGGGCACCACAACTCACCGGCACCGCAGAAGAGGGCGCAGTTGAACTTCTGTTCGTTGAGGTACATTTGCCTGTTGCTCGCACAGATCGGATTATACTCTGGGGTTGTGGGGCAACGACCAAAGCAATCCAGGAATTGTTGGGTCGGAGCCGGCGCAGCGTTGACAAAGGGTGTCATAGTTCCCACAACTGGCTCATTGTTGACTAGCACAAAGTCGCCGCCCGGCCGAGCTGTTGACCTTGTGGTCATTGGAGGCGGGCCTGTTGTTGCTGCGAATATTAGGGAATCTTGGGTGGCCACTAGATCGCTGCTGATAAGGGCACAAACCGTTAAGAGCAATGCCTGCAGATAGTTAGGCATTTCCGAAATGTATCTGTGAGGCTCTGCTGTTGCACCTGAACTAAACAAAGCCACTTAGCTTACACTCATAAGACTGAATTAACACGAACATAAATAGACAAGTGATTTCATGAAACAGGTTTTCCTCGATCAATTTCTGGTAAATCCAGTTCGATCAGCTTTAAATTGTATCAGATTGCGATAACACAAAGCGGGACGTCCCCAAAAGCTGAACAGTTTTCGATATTTAAGTTTATCTATTAGTTAATACAAAGGCATTTAAAGTAGGTTGAGAAATCCCCAGTATATATATTGACTCGAAGGCAATTGTGGGAAACAACAACATTGGTTAACCTATGAAAATGACGTTGTATGGTGCGGAAGTTATGCGAGGTCCCGGCATAGAGCTCGTCGGCGATAAATATTGCATAGATTGTTCTAGTTGTTGGTAGGGAGCAGTCTTGAAGCCAATGAGAGCTGAAAGCATGAGTCATTTAGACGGTTAGCGCAAACACTTGCAACAGCTAAGACTTACAGTTTGAAGTTTGGGGCATAATAATTTCTGCCTCTTCGGTCTGCATATTTTGGTCACTTGAAGTCGTATTAAGGGCCCGTTGTAGACACTTGCCCATATGAATGCCACGCCTAGGTCGCCCACAACGGCAGTTCTCCAACAGATTCTTTTGCATTTCAGGTGAAATGAACCGCGATTTGCACTGACTGTCGGGTTCTTCTAAAATAAATAGTATAATAAGGTTTATATCTGATCTTATATTACTAGCATTACGTACCTAGTATCTTAAGTTTTTCCTCTATCTGCTTTTCAAGTTCGTCTGGATGATAGAATTTGTTGGCCGCACTCGCAGCAATTCCATGCCAAATGTGCGGATAATTTCTACGCGATTTGTGCTCAATACGGACCACTTCCTTGCTATATGTGTGATAAATTGTATTTTTAAAATTGCCCATAATATGCATCTATTTTACATACACTCTTCCAACTAGTTTAGTGGGATCCATTCTAATAATTGTCTTCCTGTTGGTTAAAAAATGTGTACTTTAACTTTGTTTTATAATATTCTGTCATTCGAGCATTTTCCATGGCAACGAAATTAACAATTGGGGTGCTTTTTTTCCTTGCAAATTAAAGAGGCATCACGTTTATCGATTGGAGTTCAAATTTACTGATGATTCCCGCTGAGAATGTGCCAGGATTTTTATTTTAATCAGGGGCTAGAAACTCCTACTCCCATATATAAAAATCCATATTTCGTAGGAACAGCTTGAAAGCCACATACTCAGGATTACCGTATTAGTGACATATTCCAAAATCAAGAAGACTTATCTTTTATTACATTTTCATTTCCATTGCCTTCCCAAATTGAGAGATACTATCTTCGTATGACCGTGTTAAATCGAGTAGGAGACATCTTCGACTCCATGAAAATACAATTTTATTTTCCTGTATACTGTCCAAACAGTCCAGATGATTCAATCTGTGGAAACTAGTCTCAATTTTTAAGGTTTGGTCATCGGTGAACATCTATCTAACCATAATGAATAATGGTTTCTGAAAGAACTAAAACACCATGAATTATCAAATATAACCTCTTGAGTTCTGATAGTGTTTGTGAATGATCGAATATTTGTTTAAGATTTTGTATTTTTTTCGTTCTCTTATTAGGTAGCAACAATTATCAAATACATAATTTATGAGTCTCACACAAATGTTATATAATATTGTTTCAACATACAAAAGTTTGAACTTTAAAATTTAAGTGCCTAACTATAATTTTAAGTTAATTTTAGCGTTGGTTTTATTTATATTTAAAGTTAGAAAAATGTTTAGCTTATATAAAGGCGAAAGCAAAATGAATTTTAAATGTTATTTTCCCGATATACTTTTTATATTTGCGGGACACTTGATCAATGTTATTGTTAATTATAGTTTACGTGTGAGTAAGCACAATTGGAACGTTTTAAGTTAGTTACGCTATGATTTAAACACGATAATGGTAAAAGTTATAATATTAATAATTCATACTGACGGACAGTGAATTAAACGAATTTAATATTGTAAAAAGTTAATGGAATTATAAAATAATAGCTTTCACATGTATTAATTTTCTTAAAAATATGCGTGGCGCTTCGGTAAATTTTACAGCTACAAATATAAGCTCTTAAATATATACAACGCACTGATTATTTTGATTGCTAAATACAATGCAAGACCGAAAGAAGACAGGAAAACATATACAGTCACACACATTTACACTTTTACTTAAAAGCTAGACAACATTAACTTTAGCCTAATGTAATATAATATAATAATAGAATAACAGTGCCAATACGCATAATCGACGACTCTGGCTTCAAAAACAGTTGCTCACTTAGTACAATCTTAATTCTCTTGCATTCTTACGATTGCTCATGTTGTTTGTTAGCGCTACATTTTAAATACACGTATATTTATATATTTGTGTATATAAATATAGATGTATTAAAATGTGTATCTAAATATATAAACTATTTTTTAAACAGTCCATAGTTTTGGTTTATCATATTGGCATTTTAGCACGCGAGATAATTCATCATTCCAGTTAGATATTCATAAAGGAAAAACCGTCTCACAATATACCATTCGTATAATATTGATAGCCATCGTACAGTTTTGTTGAGAGGCTTTTTAGTGAGTCCTGCACAAGCTGTTCAACTTTGCGTTCCATTTCCTGCTCAGTTAAATTCATATGAAAGCGTTTTCGGAGATTCTGTACTGTGCCGGAACAGCCATTCTTAAAGCATGGCAAATGCGCATCTAAAAAAAAAGGAAGACGGTCAAAAATGGTTTTTGGTGGGTTTAGTTTTACCTACTACTTCGCATGATTTCAACAAAGTTTATGATGCGGTCCATGTGCTTGCGCACTGACATCATGCCGACAAGCAGCAGGCGATTAAACTCCCGCCAATGTACGGACTCTGTGCCTCCCATAACATCGACAAATTCGTGCGTGAGCTTAAAAGGTGACTGCTCGAAACCTGTGACAAGCAGAATGAATTTAGAATCTTTTGTCCAATCGGTTGTAATTCAAATAATTACCCAAATTTTTAGGAGATATGCTAAGAATGAAGCCGAAGTCTATATGTATTATATGACCATCCGAATGAAAGAGTATGTTACCATTATGCCTATGGGTTGCAAAAGGCAAGTCAGGATGTAAAAACAGTTTCAACGTGCGTATCTTAGACTTACCTATCCTTAACCTGCAGTAGATAGGATATCAGACAATAAGCCGCACAGCTTGCAACGAAATTCTTTTGGGCTTGACTGAAGCTTTCGCCTGTGGGTATACCATATTCATCTATAAAATAATCTCGCAAAGATTTGTTGGAGTTCTTTTTAATTTGATGCAGCGAGACAGTGTTTAATATAGGCTCAATCAGACCACTGTCATTCGAGAGGCAAATTATTTTATACGGCCGCACCCACAGATCCACATTTTCTTCCTGCCAAATAATCTTGAACATCTGTCAAAGTACATTGATGCAATAGAAAGATTTCTCGAAGCTGTTTGATAAGTAAGTTAATTACCTGCAAAAGCTGCGTGGCCATAAGCTCTTGTCGCAAATCATCACCACACTTGACAATCGCCGAGAACAGTCGCCAGTTCGATAAATGGCCATAGGGGGAGGACTCGCGTATGAGCTTCTCCTTCATATGCCAGGGTTCCTACACAGCAAACAAGTATTACAATTCCTTCTTAGGCTAATAACTATGGTCTACACAAACCTTTAAAACCGCTGCAGATGGATCCTCAGGATCGTTGCTAAAGGACTTTGTGTTCTCGCAGCTCAAATTGTTGCAGTGCCGAGTCCGAACATCGCCAATGTTAAAGACAATTGGTGGACCTGTAAGTGAACCGTTTTTTATTATCTGAGCTTCTTATCAGTGTTTCTCTTTGTATCGTTTACCCTGATCTCTAGAGTCGCATGAGTCTAATGACATCTGTGAGATGGCGTCCCGCTCGCTGATTTTGCGCATGTTTAAGTACTGCGCAGTGATTTCATCCTCTTCCTGTGACCAGACATCATCTGCAAGCAGCTGCAACCCGCCCAATGACAGCAGAGTGCTCTGATTACCGCTGCAGCAACTGTGTTGGGCCGGATCTCCGCATCTGCACTCTGCATGCGATTCAGTGCCCTTTTTTCGGCGACAGCTGGACCCATGATGGCTATCACTACAGCTAGAGATGCGGGTGCAGCTGTGATTCAGGCAGACGCCTTCCAAATGCTCCTCGCTCTTGGTGTGTCGCAGCGACGGCATCATCTTCGGTATTAGCGGCGAGGTGTGAATGTCAGGCACTTCCACCACCTCCACGTATATGATGTACGGAGTTTTGTCCTTGGAATTTAGCACAGCAGTCTTTTCCTCTGTGATGCGTACCACATGATGCGGCACATCTGAGTAAAGCGGCAGCCAGACACGAGCGGGCAAATTTTTGTTGATCCGATTAAGACACATCCGCAGTGCTGAAGTCTTCTCCGCCTTGGACGGCAGGGATGTCAGATTCTTGCCCGCATTCATTAGCGCCTTCATGAACTCCTTTTGCGGGGAAGTCTTTGGCGCACCGCAATTGCAGAACGTGCGATGCCCTAGGAGACCGTTAACCTGTCCCCTTACCGTTTCAAAACAAGTGCATCCATTGTCGAAGGCACGTCCTGAGCTCAGATCGCCTAAGCACAGCTTCGCAGGTGTTGGGGGCAGCGTTCGTGTGGTGTTCGGCGGCTCCTGGTACACTCGATGCGTTTTGTTGAACGCGTGAGGGCTGCCGGAATCTGCGAGCAACACTGTGGCATCTGACTGGGAGCGATGGTGTGTTTTTTTTACCAGAGCAACAGCTGGACCTTGGCTAGATTTGATTTGATGCTTGCCCTCTTTCTTGGAGAATATCTCCTTCATGAGCGACAGCTTGGACTTGCGACTTTTACTGCTGCTGCCCAGCGAGTCCACCTGGTGATTATAAGCCTCCAAAAGCCACAGGCACTTGAGGGAGAAGTCAACCGACTTTCGGCAACGTATGGTGAGGTAGGGATCCAGTACTTCAGCGAGTTCGTCCATTTCAATATACATTACGATTAGCTGCGGTATATAAAGATCGACTTCCTGGTCAGAAAAGCTAAATATCTTGTTGCCAATAAAGCTCAGCACGCCTGGCTCCTTCGAGTAGAACAAATAGTGCACGGCAAAGTGAATATTGAAAACGGGCGATTCAAAAAAGCGCAACAGGCCGCTGGGTCCACGATCGCTGCTCTGCTGGGGACCAGAAGTGGGCGCATGGTCATTAATATAGTATTTCACTACGCCTGGCACGGGCATCTTCAGTTGGTTCATAGAGGAGCTCATTTCAGTTTTTGCGACGGTTTCATCGGTTTCAGTTTTTGCGACCGGAAGCCGCAACCTCAGTGTACGCTTCTTAATCTGCATACTTGTTGAAGTATCCAACGTGGACACAGTTCTGCTGGCGTCTGTTGTCGTTTCAGTTGCAGGAGCGTCGGTTGTTGTGCCAGCTGCTTTTCTGCTGGAACTGGAGCTGAGTAGACTAAAGAACTCTTTCCTTTTAGAAACGTCTGTGGGGGACTTCGCCACATCCAGGGAGATTGCCGTGCCACTGCTGGGCGTGGTGGATATCGCCGATAAAGTGTCTTGCGGCTCGCCAGTCTTCTGCTTGACTGCATTCTTCTTCTCGTGGTTCTCAATTATGCTTTGGGCCGTGCGGAAAATTGCATTCTTAGTGGCACCGAAGAAGTTCTTAAAGAGAACTTGGTCGCTTTTACTGTTCTCAGTGGGAGTGGCTATTGGTGTGGGTGTTGCGTCTGGTGTCTTTGCGGACATGGTTTCTGCTGGTGCCGTAATATTGTTGGACGATGGCACGTGGTCCCCCTCATGCTCGTCCAGCACCGGTTCTATCTCATTGGGTGCTGTTCCGAGCTCCGAGTTAATGGCCGCCTGGGACATGTTCATTACGCGATAACGCAGTCGATCATCCCCATCGCGCGGTTTCTCATCTTGCCCCTCTGCTGCCAATTGGATTTGTTCTCGCTTTTCTTCGGCGGTGTGCGACGAAAAGGTGCAAGCATCCGATTCCATTAGTTTGTAGGCCACATCAGTAAGCTTCGCTTCCACCAAGTCGATGCAATTCTTGGCTCCCGCTTCCGCATTGGCATCCATTGCGCCCAGATTGAGCGCCTCATGAGAGTGGCCTATGCGACTAAGGGATATTTGGTCCGAGTCCGAGCCACATATGATGCCTGACAGACGAAGGGTGAGGATGGAGGGGGAGTATAAATTATTATGCTTACATATGGTCCATTAAAAAAGGGAAACTTAGCTTCACATATGACAACTTTATCCATGATGAACTTTCGTACGGAACTGAACACTAATATGCTTCTCTTTGGATATATCTCATATGCAAATAATTACCCAAAATATTTAGTATAGTTCCCTACCTGAATCATCCGATCCCAGGCTAGTCAGGTCCTCGCGTTTTTTGCTGCTGCCTGCACTGCTGCAACTGTTGCTGCTACTGTTACCGCCACTTATTTCATCGATCATGTCCTGTGTGTCCTTAGCCAACTCGTTCGGTTTGGTTTGATTTTGCAGGGCTGGACAGGCATCGTCTGTAGTAAGGAAAGATCAGTATTAAAGCTTTCCTGTCAACCGACTGAAACTACTTACCAACTACGCTGGGTATATGCTGGTTCTGCTGCACATGTATTGTAACTGCAGATGTGGGCGGATTCGTTCCTGAACAGACAGAGGCGACTGTTCCAGGCACAAGCTCTGCATTGGGAGCATCAGTAAAGGCTGGATTTGGATTTGGATTTGAATTTGGTGGGGAGGTGGCTAGTGCGGCCGTAATATTGGCTGGGGTTGTGTCAATCTTCGAGCACATATTGGTGTTCAGTTTTGATGGTTGTGAGCAAAATATAGTCTCAGTTTCTGCATTGGGCGAGGACATCTCCACCTGGAATTGTTAAAATATTCAATAACCTTTAACACGCTAGCAAAGGCTTTTCTAATTCAAGTTAAATGCAAAAGAAACAAGCTAGAATGTTGCAGGTCAAGAACATCTTTGGAGATGTGTCTTAAGAAATATCCACATAGCTTTATATTCTATACACGACTTTATATTGCAATCCCAAATCGCGTTTATACGGACAGATAGGCCGACAGGAAGACATATGGACATTGCACAAACCTAATAGAACCTTTCAACTTTGAGAACGAGTATGTTAATCCAGAAATTAACCTGCTTTAGCTTTAAGCTTCACTGCAGCAGAAACAGAGAATAAAGCTCCCTCGCCCTATCGCTTTCTCTCTCTCTCTCTCTTTGAATTAAATTTAAAAGTGAATAAAAACAAATAAATAAAAGTATACGAATAAAAATGGGAGCTTCAGATTATAATATAAGTTCAACTTATAGTAAAAAATCGAATTTATTGAATTGAAAAAAATGGAATCCTTGTAGCGCTAGGACTCGAGTAAGGAATAAGTGTTTGCACTCGCTGTTGATGGGAGAAGTTTAACTTAATTTTTATTTTGTATTTGTTATTGCCGCTTTTGATAACCCGGAATATACAAAAATAGCAAAATGGCAAAAATGTGAACAATAAAAAAGTGATAAACAACAGATTGTAAATATACAGTATCTTTGTATGTGTAAGCTCTGCAAACACAGTCGCACACACATGCTGGCTGTATACAAATACGTGCACACGCGTGTATGTATGTAGACTCGAAACATGTTCAAGTTCACCAATGTCGACAACAGTCTGTTTTCTCTTAAGTATTGAAGGCCGAGTGGATCGCTGCGGCCGCTGTTGCCAAAATTACTCACCTCGGGAATGCGTTGCAGGGCGCTGTCGAGACTACGGTTGCGATTATGTTGCGTGTGATTGATGCGTGTGCTGCTTAGCTGAGCAACAGGCGCCAGCAATATGCCCATCGATCTACAAAGGTAGGAAAATAAGTCATATTAAGAAACAAATTTTTTCAAACAAAAATCAATAAGGTTTCGTCAGCATTTGCGTTGTCAGCAGGTGTACAAGTGCAATCAATGCAAAACAATATGCGAGCGAGCGAGCACAAACACAAAAAGTACACAAGTCTGCAAACATATGAGCACTCACCACACATCTACATACCTACATATGCATGTGTAGATAGGAATGTTAACGTAATTACTGTCTTTCTACGATTTCCTGCGTGCAGTGGAGAGCTAAGCTGAGCAAGTGAAATTAACAATGTTTAGAAGGTAAATAACAAAACACAAAGCATAATAAAAAATTACAATAAGAGGAAAAAAAAACCACGCAAGAGCCAATGACGGCGAGAGCAACAGGTGCTCGTAATACGAATAGATACAGTGTGAACTTCTATTTAACTTGTGCTGTTAGCACAATTTTCCATATGCTAATCTAACAGTCATGTTGACGATATTAAATGTTAGTACACGAAACGGCACTTTAGTGTCCAAAAAATGCACTGTAACTGTAAACAAATGCTTGCGTCTAGTTTCAAGAACAATTTTTTCAGAATATCTAGGTTCCTAGGAGAACCTTGAACCTAACGCCAAATTACCGTTACAAACTTCTTTCTACACAAACATCGACAAAAACCCGCATACTCACACATTCACACACTTTATGCAGTGACTCAATCTCTTGCCTTAACACACACAAGTGCATTCGTGAATAACAAATTTTAAGGGCGTATTTATGACGTCCAAATGTGTTTATATACCAAGTCGCAAGGCTATACTACAACAAAAGTGATTTAGTCGGCAGTGCCAGACTGGGGGAACCTCGCGCCGAGCTGATGTCACAAATTCTAGTTCCCTTTCACACACACACATACACAAACAAAATTGCCTAAAACAAACGGAGCTTTGTTAGCATTTTACGCTGCGGCTGCGCTGCTTCTTTCCATAGCTGCACACAGTGCAAAATCCTTTTGCGATTGACTACCGATCTTAATATAATTTTTGGGGTATAAATTCAATTTCATGCTTGACATGGTTAGATAGGGTACGGCTATTAACTCTGAGTAAATTTCTATGTATTTTATGATGTGGGAGACGGTTCCTGTTGCATACATTTGGACAATAACTATTTTACCATTTTTAGGGTATATTGTAACTTACCTGTAATCTAAGCTCAAGTTCCTTTCGTGCTTAAAAATGCATTTTGGTGTTTTGTCGATCGCTTGGGTTCCGGTAAGTTCAACTGATGGTGGAATCACGCTCAGATTCGGACGCCCGTGCACGGAGGGCATAGATTGATTAAGTCCACGGATCAGGCGCGGCCCGGATGAGCGTACGTGCTTCGGCGTGCTTGCCGCTGAGCTATTGGATAGTCTTGAAGTCGTGGAGATGATGCAGTTGCTGCTCGCGCTACGGCGTTGTATGGTGGGAGGCAATGAAATGGGCAGGGTAATTGGGAAATGAGGCATATAATCTCCATGGCCTTTTGACATTGCAGTGGGTGCAAGCAGCATTTGGTAGCTACCGTCCTCATTTGGGTTGCACTCAACACGGTATTCGTCAGATTTCTTGCCTGGGCTGCAAGTCTGGAGATTTGCGACTGCCGCCGTTGGACTTTGCACTACGGTGCTGTTGCTGTATTCGCTCGAACTGCTCGTACTGATGCAGGCAACCGTCGAGTTATCCGAATCATCATCGTCATCTGGCGGCGGAACTGGACTGTGTGTCAGCGGATTAATGTCTATGTTACCATTTTCGGCTACCTGCGCATTGGGGCTGATAGAGATGTTGTTCGCCTTGCCGTTCATGTTGTAATCAGAGTGCCCTTTCACACAAGATAATCGCACTAAAGCGGGCGCACAGTAATCAACAGTATCAGTGCTTGCGGCAGCTGAATCCACGACCGGATGAAACACATTGCCGCTTTCGCGCATACGCAGGTCGTCCACGGCAGCTACGACAACATGGAACACCGGCTCATTGACAGTCTCGGGTATTGGCAGACGGTATTGACACCCATTGTTTGGAGCTCCTGGGTTCTTATTGGTAGCGCCATGGCTAACTAGGTCACCGTTTTGCATACAGTCTGGTGTGGCAACATTAGACGCAGCCGTGACTGTGACTGTTGTTGGGCTGGGCGTGTTGCTCTTCTTGATTTTAAATGCTGAGCTGACGGAGTTCATTTTCAGACTGGCTAGATACTTTTTGCTACTTATATTCAGTTCCCTTCGCCAGATTCTTCCGCGTTATAACCTGCTCCATTGTAAATTGCTGATGTTTTTCAGCTTTGCTGGATATTTATTGTTGATTTACCGAGTTTGCGAGTGAAATAATCCGATGACCTGCAATCTACAAAGAAAATTGTGAGCTTAAACCAATTTACGGACAATGAATAGCGTGTTTAAACTTACTTGAATAAGAGCTGTTTCTTTCGACTTCCGACCCTGCTCTCGTTTCCAATTCATTTGTCGTATGTGTGCTTATATTCATTTCTATTTCGAAATAATAACAGCTCCCCTATATTCTAGATTTGTATTTAAGCTAGTCGCATAGCCTCGGATCCCAAATTAGTTTTTCGCATTGGTTATTAAAAATGAATTAAAAGATAAAAACAAAACTGCATACCACAGATTATTAATTTTAATCGCAAGTAGAGGGAACAAAGAGCTAGTGCTAGCGATGGCAAAAACAAATCGAAGCATCAATGTATCGAAAATCGATTTGTGTTCAGCATTAGTCAAGTGTTACCTCTATATAACGGGACAAACCATTTTACAAATGAGTTGTGAATATTTAAAAGCGCCAGTTCCTTCGACAAAGTGCTGTTCTTCAGGCCAAAAAATAAACGAAATAAATTCAAAATTAGCTAAAAATGAATAGTATATATTTATACGCTATCATCATAATGTCAGATGACATTAAAAACAAAGATTACGGAAATTATTCTTGCAGTCAGGTAAATGGTGCTATGAAGTAATTTCTTTAATTGTGATTAGGAACATAAACGTAGGTTTTAGGTTTCAAGGTCAGCATTGATTTTAATCATTTTCCAAATATGTAATTCTGCATCTGTTTTGGCGCTTTAATTTTTGCGTTGCTAAAATCAGTTTCACATCACTAGATACTGTATATGGGCATATAAACTATGGAATATAAGGGTGTGGCTCACCTGCGCAAACTCTATTCAGTCAATCATCCATGTGCTGATTATAACTAAATAAATAAATTTAATACTAAATTAAAATCATGTGTTGATATTGATTGTGCAACAAGTATAATATACCGCAGCATAGTATTTTTTTTTGACTTCGCAACAAGTAAAATCTATCGCAACAGTAGTAGTATTTTTTGACTTTTGGTAAATTTTCCAATTTAAAAACTGGTCACACTGCTCGAATTTCATATAAACATAAAAGTAAAATGCTACCTGGCGTTGGCGTATTCGGAACAGGTGAAATCGCCAATGTCCTGGTGCCACTGCTACGAGAGAAGGGTTTCGAAGTTAAGGCCATTTGGGGGCGCACACTAAGGGAGGCCAAGGAAACGGCCAACGCACAGAATGTAGCATTTTACACAAACGTCATAGACGAAGTGCTGCTACGAAAAGACGTCGATCTGGTATTTATAGTGTGCCAACCGTTTCTACACGCGGAGATTTCGGTGAAGGCGCTGGGCATTGGGAAGCATGTAGTATGCGACAAGCCAGCGGGTCTTCATCAAGCCGACTCCATGAAAATGGTGCGTGCATCACAGTACTATCCGACACTTATATCTCTGGTGAATCATCCTCTGAGGTTCTTACCCGCATTTACCCAAATGCGACGCTGCCTTCAGGAAGGACTAATCGGACCGCTAGAGAACGTGGTTCTGATGGATGTGCGTGTGCAAATGGGCACCCTCTTTCCCGAAAAGTACAACTGGATGTGTGATGCCCAAATGGGCGGTGGTGCACTCAATCTAGTGGGCAGTGTGGTGGATTTGGTCCACTTTTTGTTGCAACAGCACGCAGTTCGTGTGCATGGCGTACTCAGGGCCTACACCAAAACAACAGGGGCCATTAATGGCATCCGCCAAATAACAGCTCCGGATTTCTGCAATTTTCAAATGGAACTGGCCAGTGGCACGCTCGTTACGGTGGCTCTTCATAGTCACACGGTTCCGACGAAAACCTTTTCTCAAGAAGTACTCGTCTATGGCAGCAAAGGTCATCTGGTAGTGCGAGGCGGCGACCTGTTTGCCCTTAAGGAGTCTCAGCAAAAGGAAGAAGCCGTCTATGTGGATGTCCAGGACTTGCACATTTCTACCAACAATTCACTACTTCCGCGTCCATACATCAAGGGTATGTGCAAAATGGTAGGTGCTCTTAAGGAAGCCTTTCACAGCAAAGAGTCCAGCTGGATAAAGGCGCCTGTCTCCACCGCCGCTACTTTCGAAGATGGGCTTTACGTACAAGCCGTCGTCGAAGCTATACGCAAGTCGAATGAAACACGCCAATGGCAGCGCGTCGAATTGACCACGGATGCGCCCCTCAACCATGACCAGATTATTAGGTATGGATATGCGCGGATGTCGACCATGTGAATAGGATGCTTATTTTGCGCAGTATCGTTCCATCGCCTTCAACTATAAACGTATTTAACTTATTGTTTCGGCATTTACATTTTGCATTAATAAACCACCTTTAGATTTTTAAGATGACATAATTGAGACAAAGACGATTTAAATTTGTGGGCAATAAGTTCTTTTAATATCTTTCAGCAGACCGACATGTATAAATACATTTGTCTTGGGGAAGAATAATAATGCATGTAATTCTTGATCAGAATCAGCAATCGATATAACCATGTCCAACTATATATTTTCAGTTTTAAGGCAACGTCATGAAACTTGACAATGGTCCGTCTTTCTTTTGCAAGCAGGAAATATTTCGGAATCGGCCAGATAGGACTACTATATTCTATAGCTCGTTCAACAATTATTTCTTCAATTTTTAAACCATCGGCTTACTATATCATTTAGCTCTACAAACCCGCATTCATTTGTAGATCATGTTATATGACTCCTTTAGGAACAATATGTCGGAATTAAAGATTCCTGGACGTCATCCTGAAATAGAATAGGATCGGAGATACTTTCTTCTGCCCGTTACGTACATCTGTACATCTGTATTATACCCTTCCTTTTATCCATTTGAATGCAAGAGAAAAATACAAAAAATTGTTTACAAATTTTTTTTGTGTTGTGTGATTTATAATTTTGAGCGGAATAAGTTTTATTTGGCATGCTAAATTGAAAAATATATAAACGGCAAGCTTCTATTTCGCATTAGCGCTAATTTGGAATATCTATTATACATAGTTGGGTGTATTGAATTTGTAATTTGTTCGTTCCTTTTTGGTATATCAGCACTTATAAAAACTAAATTAAATTCTACACTGGGAGAATAAAATACACTACCCTAAAGCCTGTTGAGTACAATTAAGCCAATGATATTATAAATAGTTCGTATTAATAATAATATTGTCTTTGATGCAAGATAAACAGTTAAACATAAAAACACAAAATTGATAATTTTCTTGACCTTAATATAAATAAATAGTTAAGTTAAATATATAATTATTTGAAATATTTTTAGAACAAAACGAACAAACTCAATGGGTAATAAAATAAAAATCAAAATAAAAATAAACAAACAATAGACACCAGCTATGTATACGCATAAAACATAAAACTAGACTTAAATACATAACTTAGCTAAGACACTAACTAAGCGACAAGAGTATTGCCTACCGCTTGTTCAGCTTGCGCCAGAGGGTGATCACCGTCAGCAGATGCATCACGGCAATTACAATGGCCATTAGCAAGACGCAGTCGGACATGTGCACATCGGAGATCATCATGTACTTAAGAAAGACTTTGGGACTGCGGAAGTGGCAGTAAATGACATTCTCCGGGCACTCCAGAAATTGACGGTCCAAGCCGTAAAAGGCGTTTAGAGCACCATGAAAGCCGGCCCGGAAATAGCTCAGATGCCACATCCAACGAAAGAGCGGCGTTATATCAATATATCGGGTACAAAAGCCAAACACGGAAAACATGACCGCCAGTATTGGACCCAAAAAGACGGCAAGCTATCAATAGATATTTTCATATGAGATATCGAGCTCAGATATTGCTAATAATATACATACCTTTGTTGGCAGCGTGGCACCTACAAAGAAGCCCCAAGCCTGTGCACTGAGGCTGGCCAATATGGCCAGCAATATGAAGTAATACATCCGGAACGGGTCCCCACTATCGTTGTCCGTTAGCCGTGCGCTGATAACAATGTACAAAGCGGTACATAAGCTCTATAAAAACAAGTTTATTATAGCATGATCTATTAAAACAACAAAATTCGAAATATATAATTGGGTTGGAAACAATATAAAAAGTGTATCCTAATAAAACACATTTCGTTACTTAAGCTCGAAAAAGAATAGACTCGAGGATTTTTGTTTAATTCGCGCCAACATCCCTATAAAAAAAAAACCATTTTTTTTGCGGGTCTTCGATCTTTAGCTCTTTAGTTAATTTCAGCAGATGTCGTATTATCGAATATATAGGACAAGTTGCCTTAAAGCTTGTACACATAAGCGAATAATAACTATGAATAATGATTATTTGGTTCGGCGAAACTTACTTGAAAGGGTATTTCAAAGGAGATCAGCGACAGAAAGTAGGGTCCCAGCTTGTACCAGCGATTGAAGTGCTCCCGGGTCAGCATATCGATCTCCAGCGGAACTGCAGTAAGAAATTCAACATATTTATTAATAATTTAGTCGATTTCTTTGACCTGGACCAAAGGGCACGGCGCCAATGACCTCTGCGTGCATGTAGGTCATGACCTGTCATTGCACTCAAAGTCATTAAAACTTACAAGTTTCGTAATTCTCAAAACCAGTTGAATGGATTTTAAAAGAAATGGTTAAGAGGAGAAAATTTACTTTATTCGGAAGCCGTTTACTGTAAAATATTGCTACTGGCAACTTTGACAACATGTTAAGTATACCCTTTAATATATTCCTATTCTTTTCGAAAAAGTCGATTGAAAATTAGTTTAAATTTAAATTCTGAGAGACTTTATAAACTATCATGTTTCGGCTGGTCAAAAAAAAAAAAAAAAAAATAAGATACAAAACTTCGTCGTTGTAAAATTAATTCGCTAAACCTTTACAAAAGCCGCTCTAAGGATCAGCATACTCTCCTTCTTGCTATCTATTATTTACTTAGCCACATACAAACTGTCATTTCCTCTAAGAACTTAGCCCGTTTCCTTACATTTGGCGGTTCGAACACATTCAAAGTCCCCGTTCTTCCTGATGTTCAAACTAAGTCTAAGAAGCAAAGTCCGTCTTAATAATTATCCTTCACACAAATTAAAACGAAGAAAACACTTTATTTAATTATGTTTTCTGGCTTTTAATTGAAAATTTATAAAAAATTAATAATAATAATTGTTATCATGTCTTTTTCGTTGCGAATAAATTATATAGACAAGTATTTAAGTAGGTAATGTTTACTATTGGAATTGAATCGGCAACCTTTTAATTGTTCTGGTTAGCAAAGCACTTTTGGTGTTTTCTTTTCTTCAAACTTGAGCTCCATTTT